ATATTTTAGATTTGTGAAATCATCTACAGAGCCTCATTTCCCACTCAATCAAACTAGAAATCCTACTCCTTGGGGCAATTCTAGATTTTCGATTAGGGAAGATACAAGAATATGTCTCAAAGTCTAGTGCTACAGTTCCTCTTCCATATCTCAATCGGCACAGTCCCTTCCACTAGAGAATAAAAATGACAAAAGAAGAAGTTTGTACATTTCTTTCTCTCTTTTTATAGTGCTTTAGCCTTAAGTGAATTTGATGTGTAAAGAGAAAAACAATTTTACTGATTTGTGTTTTTTTTTACACTGGATGCATAAATAAGTGACCCCACACACATACGCATGCACACCCCACTGAAAAAAATCAGTCATGTGAAATGAACATACTCCACAACCCATATTAACTTTGCGCTTCCCTGAGAGAATAAACAAATACAACACCTACTGATGCCAGCGGCTCAGGTTCTTAAAGCCAAATTAACAAATAGAGAGCAAATAAACAAATATTTATCTGGAATCATTACAGTCAATGCACTCAACCAGGTGTTATGCCATTTTTTTATCACTTGAAAAAATAGGACAACTATCCACTCATCTTGCCTCCAAAACGAAGAGTGAAATTCTAGAGACTTGATAAGAATAAAATGCACCTGCTGACTCTGATGGCATGGAAGAAAACTGAAGAAACTGTGGGGTCATATTGCTCCCTAAACTCATGTTTAGGAAGAAAACAGAAACAGTTCACAGAAGCGACCATAATCTACCATGAGGAACTAAAATACATTTAGTCAAGATGTCGGTGACTGCCTATTCCGGTTACCAGGTAAGGAGTCAATTAAGAAATCCAAGTGACCCTGTTTGAAACGCTAGATATTCCGGGACAACACTGTGAGTAATTCTTTAGTAAAGAGTTTAATGTTTCAAACATAATAAACCACGACAATACTTTTAAAATTCTGTATAAACACTACAAAATACAAAGACCCAAGCTCTAAAAATGAAGTTTCCAAGAAAGCTTTAAAATAAAAACCACCAGGTTTTGCAATAAGGTGCTCTTACATTATATCCCCAAAATAAGGTAGATCATGCTGCCCCCTTGTGCCAGATGTAAAAATAAAATGAATTCAGCCCATGCAAGGAAAACATGATTTACATTTAAAATAGAATCATCTCATAATTTCTGAATGACTTACAGTCATGCGCTGTATAACGACATTTCAGTCAACGATGGACTGCATATATGATGGTGGTCCTATAAGCTTAGTACCATAGAGAACAGGTGTGTAGTAGGCTTTACCATCTAGTTTGTGTAAGTACACTCTGTGATGTTCTCACAATGACGAAATCCCATAACGAGTTTCTCAGAACATATTCCCATCGTGAAGCTACGCGTGACTGTCCTGTTGATTCGGGATTTGTGTTACCCGTGTATTAAGATCTGATAGAACTGAAATGGGGCTAGGATAGAAGACATATGTTGACTAGGAAGTGGCAGATGCAGCAAACAGCACAGGGACACAGACTACATCTGCAAAGGCACTATTCAACTCAAACAAAATGTGTAGGAAATGTCAGGGTCACTGAAAACATGCGGCTCTTTAATAGACGTGCACAATACTGTTACCTAAACACATCAAAGGAGAAAAGGATAAGAAATAGAGATGGGTGAGAGGAAGGAAAAAGAAAAGAAAACTAGCTTTTGCCATTCTAACACCACACACTAGTTGATTCCAATTTTACCCAGATAGCTTAAAATTTACCAGGTTATGAAAGATCAGTAGACAATACGGTATACATTAAACAAACTAATTAAACTTCATGCAATCCAAATTTCATGGGTTCAAAATGGAGAATAAGTCATGCAGCTTGGAGAGCTGGAAATTTCTCAAAAGTCAGCTCTCTGGAATGGATCAACTGCAGTCAGAGAAACTTTGCTATTGAGAAGAAACATGCACTTTCCAGTGTACCCTGCCTTTATCCTTAAATCCAAGTAAGTGAACTTGGGACTTTGGCGGGGCAGTGGTGTTTCAGGACCCTCCACTGAAGGCCTGGTTCTCTGCATAAGTACAAAGCGTCACCCACTGGTTAACAAAATGCATGAGGATCTGGGAAGAAGCATGAGAAGGGAGACAGCACATCTGGCTGTGAGCACCATGAATGAATGTACAAGCCATTTCCAAGATCCAATTCAGGGTCACTGAGAATATTCCAGCACAAGTGGGAAATGAAGATGGGTACAGAAAGGAACTCTGGCAAGACTTCTGCAATTCCAAGCCAGGCTGTGGTTCAGGCAGGTCCAGTGGGCCTCTGCCTCGAGTTTCTAGTTTCTGCACCAGTCACCACTCCAAGTCTAGTTTGCTGGAAACTACACACTGGCAAAAGTCGATCCTGACCCCTGAATTTCCTAAAATCTGGGAAGCTGTCAAGATCTTGAGCCCATAGGAAACCCAGGGACCCCAGTGTCTCCCTGAGAGTATGCTCTGAACAACCAAGTATTGAGAAGACAAAGACATGCTTCGTGATCTCTCCATGCTGCTCAGAGAACACACTCTGTGTGCAACTCAGGGTCGTCACATTATGCAGGGCACTTGTATACATTTAACGTAGATATTCAATGGAACTTAAACATCGAGCATGTCTGCCTCTCTACTCTAGAAGGGAATTGTTTCTTTAATGTTTTTTTTTTTTTGAGGAAGATTGGCCCCATGCTAACATCTGTTCCCAATCTTTCTCTTTTTTCTTTTTTTTCTCCCCGAAGCCCCAGTACATAGTTGCATATATCATAGTTGTAGAGTTGTAGCTCTTCTGTGTGGGACACCAGCTCAACTTGGCTTGATGAGCAGTGAATAGGTCTGCACCCGTGATTGGAACTGGCAAACCCTGGCCCGCTGAAGCGGAACCCGTGAACCTAACCACTATGCCACCAGGCGGGTCCCCATGGGGGGAATTTCTTTACGCATCACATAACCGTTAAAGTACATACAATCAATGATGTCAACTATGAGGCATGATCCATAGCTCTGGCTTGTTCTTCCCATTGTAAAAAGTGCAAAAATTATATCCACATGGAAACTTAAAATCTACCACTTAAAATTTATTTTAGTTAAAAGAAAATGTTTAATCTACCACGAAAAGAGTAAATAACTCATGGCCCCTAAACATTTTGGGCAAACTAGGCCTATCTTTGGAGTACTGAATTTGGTCTTCTATTTTCTTGAAGGACGAAAGTACTACTAATAGATATAGGAGGGGAGGCAAGATAAACACTAGAGTGCTGCTCTAAGATTAGCGACCTCAGAAATTTAGACCTGGTCCCAAATCCTTGAATAATAAATAAATCAGCATGTGGAGAAGCCTACAGGTCATGAACACAAAGAGCCTGGTTAACTGTGGTCACGAGCATTCAGAGGCTGTGATAACAGAAATTCAGGCCCACTTAATGCTCCAAACTTTATGACTGTAGTTTTCCAATTAACTGGCAAACTGGAGTGACTTTACAGCCTTAATAATACATAAGTCCTCTAATTGCTTTCTAACTACAGCTATAAAAAGACTATACACTTGTGTGGGCCTCTGCAGTTTACAATTCCTTGTGCTTCCCAGTGTCTAGACTAAACAACGTTTGTTGAAGAAATCTACACAACATGCTTTCCAGAACAGTCTTATCTAATCCTCACAACAGTCTTGTGAAACAAGAAGGGCAGCAGTGTTAGTTCCATTTCACAGGTGAGGAAGTTCGGAGATATCATGTTGTCATTGTCGCCAAGACTCATTAGGCACTTAGTGTGCTAAGCCTTACTCTAAGCACTGTGAATGGATTAACCTGCTTAATTCCCACAATATCTTAATCAAGTAAGTGTAAAGAGTATACCCATTTTACAGATTCGAAAACTGAGGCAGAGAGGTAACTAGCACACAAGTATTAATATAACTATAACTAACTATTACCATTAGTAATTAGCACCAGGACCGAACCCAGGCAGCTGGCTCCAGAGACCACACTTTTAACCACAACCACCCCCTACTCTGAGATTTGCTTGCCTACCTGTATCTACGTGCTTTAGCTAGTTACATCACAAGGCTAGTGAACGGCCAGGCCAAGGCTACTCCTGTGCTCCCTCCAGCCCACCTCCCTGCCTCGACAGGCCCTGTCGAGTATCACCTACACAAACAAAGCCACCCTGGGCTTCACCACAAGTCTAACCAACTGACCAGGTGGGGACGTATGTTGATGAACTAGCTCTTCACAGGAACCCAGGGCAGGAGGCTACCTTCAGAAGCAAGACAGGTGAAAGGCCTCAAGGCAGAGGCATCAACCACTTGGAAATCACCAGGGAAACTCACTACTAAAGATCCACCTGGCAGGTACAACAAAGCCTCTAATGTGTAAGCAAAAGTCTACTTTAAAACTATCGAGTTAAAAACTTGCATTGAAGAGGATGCTTACATTTCACCAATCTTGGGTTTTAATTAATCTTTCATTACCATTTTAGGTAAACCTCATTGTCAGGGCACGCACAAGAGCTCTGTGGTTTCACAAATGGATGGGGAAGGGAAGAAAGAAACACCCAGGCTGTCTTATGTCAGAGAGATTCCTTGTAAAAAGGTCCTTCCTAAAGGATGGACCTTAATGCTATATAATAGCGTTATGCTATGTAATACAGCCAGTGTTGCAGCAACTAGCCAACCACGTTTAAAGATGTTTGCATTGAAGGTGGGGTGTTTCATATGCCACCCAACAATGGACTCCTAAACCATTCTGCAAAGCGAACATTCATTTATTTTTCCACACACACATAAATTGGAATAAAAGCTTGTATGCCCCCTCTATTCAGATTCTTTCTGGTAGGAGAAATGTATCAGTGAAGCTTTTTGGAGAAAATGAATCAAAACACGCACAGTGATTTTCTTCCAAGCGTCTCCTCCATTTTCAAATACCGAAATGTAATCAGATACTAAATGTGTTAATAAGACATATCCATGGAGAAACTTGGTGTCGGACTTACCTATTGGATTTCTATCAAAGAACAATACCGGAGCTTTCAAAATGGACTCAAACATTCTGTTGTGCAAAGTTTGTGAAGAATTAACAAGGACGTAGAATACCAACAGACATCTTGCTATGCCAAAAATGACGGTAGCTACAGTTAAACCTGAAATAAAGAAATATCACTTAGAGACACAGGATCTCTGCCTTTTCTTCTATGATGCTGAAGCATGTCAGGCAGGTTTATAAAGAAAGTATGTATTTTATTCCATAAAGCATCTGGATTCTATGAGAGTTTAATGCATTCACAAAACATATTTATAAAGAATATAAAATAATTTATTTCTCTCATTAAATAGAAACTACATGGAAAAAAAGAGGTGTAAACTAAAATTTCATTCTATGCTTTCCTAATTCAATTATAAGTTCTATTAAAAACTCAGAAAAAAGACAATTATAAAAAGTAGTTTATCTTCCCTTCTCCATATTCCAAATCTTACTATTTACATGTCCCATGACCTAAAATTATGTTTTGCTACCAGCGTGTGATATTAATAGGAAACAGGAGAAATGAGTTACCATTTCCTTGTAGAAAATGCCCAAGCAACTTTAAAAAATACGAATACCACATTAAGTTGCACGTAGAAAATCCCTTAAATAACTGAATTGCAAGAAAAAACAAATTACCCCTGTGTTCACTGCAGCGTTATTCACAACAGGCAAGACTTGCAAGCAACCTAAGTGCCCATCAAGGGACGAATGGATAAAGAAGATGTGGTATATATACACAATGGAATACTACTCAGCCATAAGAAACGATGAAATCCAGCCATTTGTGACAACATGGATGGACATTTCCGGTATTATGCAAAGCGAAATAAGTCAGAGGGAGAAGGTGAAATTCCGTATGATTTCCTTCATTAAGTAGTAGATAATAACAACAATAAACAAACACATAGAGACAGAGATTGGATTGGTGGTTACCAGAGGGGAAAGGGGGAGGGGGGAGGGCGAAAGGGATAATTCAGCACATGTGTGTGGTGATGGGTTTTAATTAGTATTTGAGTGGTGAACATGATGTAATCTATGCAGAAATAGAAGTATAATGATGTACACCTGAAATTTATACAATGTTATAAACCAATGTTACTGCAATAAATTAAAAAAAAGAAAAAAATCATATTTTACTGTGAGATAATCTAAATGAGCAACTAATCTTTCACTGTTTTATATAAACAAATCATTTTTGAATGAACATAATCATTTAAATTATGTTTCATTAATGACATAAATGAATACCTACTATGCACATAAAAAATAGCTCTCCTAACATCTCTTGAACTCACACTGTTAAACAGAGTGGGGAAAACCTCTATAATAAATATTCCATCAACTACTTTTCCCCCTTCAGATGATACATCACTGTTACTTAAACTCTAAAAGCTGCTCAAATTCCTAAATTCCAGCAGCAGGCATTTTCCTTAGCCTGCCATCCTACATAAACGTAGAACACCACCGTTTTCCTTCTCCCTTTAGGTCTCGCATCGGCCACCAGTTCGGAAGGTAAACAGCTAATGGATTTCTTAGCAAGTGATCAACAAATTAAATACCAAATTTCAGTGAGTGGGTTCTTAACAAAGATAACTCACTCTATCTTCAGAGAAAGCTTGTATGAGCGTTTCCTGCGGGAATATTTAAAATTTTAGATGAGGATTTCCTTTAAAAAGTATGTAATGCTACACACATGCTAAGCACTCTTGTGAAAACAGAGCACTGTGTTAATATCAGTCTGGTGAGCCAAATGTTAAATTAATCACGCAGTTGGGAACGAGATAACATTGTGATCTCGAGGTAAGAAAGAGAAGGAATCCTAATTCCCGGACACTGGATTCTTCCCTGCTTAGCTTCTCTCTTAAGTAATTAGTGAAGCCCAAGAGATGAGCAGTTTGGTGAAGGGAGCTTTGCATACCTGCAAGGGAATAATGCTTTTATTTGGGGGGCCTGGCTGCCAAAGGATTTCATCCAAGTTCAATAAAAGCCAGGGTTTATTCAGATAGAATTGGAACAATCTGAACCACAGGGTGGGGATCCGTTTCTAATCCCCTTGCCCATCCATATAATAATGTAAGATTTAGCTAAAGCAACCTATTAGAATAGACAATAGCCACATATTTCCAGTGGCTGATTTTCTGAATGCTCAATCCTGGTTTAACTTCCAAAATGCAGTATAGAGCAAATTAAGAGTCTTCATTCAACCTCTTTCTTCTAGTAGATTTTAAAAATAATTATTCTAATTAATTCACAGAGTAAATGCGACTCAGACTCTTAATCTGTTAAGACATTACTGAATTACTCCTGGAAGCCCTAGTTACTCACACAGGCTCATTGTAAGCACCTCCGACTCTCGGATAATAGACCAAATGATTAAACTTTACCTGAATAAATTCCTAAGTACCAGTTAAGATCGAGCGTCTCAGTTACATTTCCTTTTCCATTTACAGTGACGTTCAGGGCGCTTTGCTCATTTGCCCTAAGGAACAAAAGAGAAAAAGTACTAAGTTCTAGATGGAATTTAGATAAATGCAAAAGAAAAAAATTAACCTTGATTTGGGAGACATGTTTTATGCTGGAAAATGATTCCTAGCTCACACAGTCCTGTGTACGTCTACCTTAGAAAAACTCCATTTGAATCATGACTTTCAGTTCTCACAATTGTGAAGATGCTGCTGAGCATCAGACATGGGGAGAGACCATTATGGGTCATACTCCACCCAGCAAGAACTTTAATTTTTCTTCAGGGAAACTAAGTGAGGATTAGAAGTGGAGGCTGAACAAACCCCACCTTTCCCCAACTCTGAGGGAAAGGGAGGCTTCACGTCGATTTTACAGCACTTCACGTCAGACTAGAAATAACTCACCAGTATGAAAGCCACCAGTCCTGAAGAATGTAGGCTACCTAGAGTAGGGTAAGAAACAAAAAAGTCAAACACTAACATTACTTACCAACTCAAAACTCTCACTCACTAAAATGGATAATCAAAAGTCTCCAAGAAACAAAGATGATCCTTCCATCTCAGGTCTGTCCCAAGCCCAACATCCCAGATAACAACAGGTCAAGTAAACGCATATTACATTTTAAAATCTTTAAAAGACATCCTTTTTTTCCTAGAAGTTCTTTGTAACACACACACGACACCAGTGAGCATCATTTATTTTGTTCCCCACAGACAGCACATTTCAATGCAAATCCAAGCGGACTGCAAAACACAGTACAGTCATGGGTCGCTTAACGATAGGGATACGCCCGAGAAATGTGTTGTTAGGCAATTGTGCTGTTGTGTGAGCATCACAGAGTGTACTGAAGGAGAACAAAATTTCTGCCCCCAAAATGTCTCTCTAACATGAGGATTACTTTAGGCTGATTATTTTTAAGAAACAAAAGACTCAGAAAGTTTTTCTTGTTACCTCCCCCTTAACTGCCTAAAAGAACACAGATTAAAAAACCTGTCTCAGGAAGCGAGCTATCACCTTAGCATAATAGGAACTAGGCGGTAGACGGGGAGGAACCTAGAAAAGCCTGTTTGTTGGGCTCCCTCTGTGTTCTTCTATGTCTGTTTGGAAAAGATGTCTTGTTTTCTAATCGTTTGCTTCTTTTCACCTACCTGTGAATTGCCTTCCTCCCTTTGAAGTCCCTGACTCTCCCCATCCCCAGCACCTTCTTTTGTCTTTAGCTGAGGATGGTATTTAAGGTGAGGGCTTTGGCCATTTTGGTTTTCCTGGCTTTCTCCCATCTATACATAACATTAAACATTTGTTTGTTTTTCTCCTGTTAATCTGTCTGATGTCAATTTAATTCTCAGACCAGCTAGAAGAACCTAGAAGGGTAGAGGAAAATTTCTTCCTCCTCTGTGGCACTTATACAAACCTGGATGGTATAGCCCACTACACACCTGGGCTACATGGTACTGAGCTTATAGGCCCATCGTCATATATGTGGTCCACTGTTAACCAAAACGTCATTATGTGGCGTGTGACTGTATATAGTATAAACAGTACTGTAAATATCAACTGAGGGTACAAAACAAAATGTCCTTAGTTACCTGAGCTATGACGTTTAGCAGAATAAGGAAAATGATGACAAGCCAGTGAGCACCAGCTCTGAAGTAATTCTTGTAGGTCTTAAGACCAAGTTTTCCTTCAGAACGGCTCTCCTCTGACAGCGTAACCTGTGCATTCTCAGTCTAGAAAGGAAAGAAGGCAGTGAGAGACAAAATTTTAAACGATGAACCCAAAAATTTCAGAAGGTAAACAAAGCGCTCTATTGGCAAAGCTGTGGGAAAACAGGCACTGGTTTCATACGTTGGTAGGAGCACAAAATGGTACATCTCCTATGGAGAAGGGTGTGGAAATATCTAGCCAAACCATACATGCTTTTACCCTTGGACCCAGCCACCTCACTTCTAGGAATCTATTAGAAACAAGGAAATATCATTCGCACACAGTTATTCATTGTTGCTTTGCTTAAAGTAGATCATGATTTCCAGCATGTGCACAACATACTCAATTCAAGTATAAACGCATGAAGCTTGTACCAAAATAATACATAAAATGATATGGACCTAATGTATTTTAAGCTAATTTAGATTTAATTTAATAAGCTAACCTAGATTATTTGTGTAGCTTAATGATGGAAACATAAAACATAGTAGGGGCTCAAAATATTGGCTGAATACAGTAAACTGAATTCAACAGCGAGTCGGAGTAATTAGAGTTTAGATAGCAAGGGAGAGCACATGATCCGAATCTATTTGGTTCCTGAATTTCAGAGAGTGATTTCTGAATTTGGCATGTGAGGGACTAACCTGAACACTTATCAGATCATCCAGGCTCCTAGATTTTGATAGTAGAATTTAGATATTGAGGAATACCCATGTATATTTTTAAGGAAGATCTAGTGCGTTTCTGTCTGGAGGACTTAGAATGCATTATAGATTCACATGAGCCCAGGATGTCCTTGGCTCTGTGCTGGCCATTGGGGAATCAACGAAGGATAAGATGTGGTTCTCCATCTTGAAGGGTAAGAAAGGAAGATGAGAACTAACTCTACAGTGTCTACTGGGTTCCAAGTCCTTTGCAGATCCTACTTCTGGCCTATCACAAACCATCTGACAGGGGGCAAAATAACACCAGCAGTCACCTGCAGTGCCAGAAATTCCAACATATAAGAAAAGTAGTTGATTTAACGTGGGCCACAGAAGGACTCAGTCTGAAGGGGTCTTCAAATTAAGCCTCTGGATGCAAAAGAGAAACCTAGGGCCATCAGAACAAGCAGGAGTTACCTATAATAAATTCAAGAGTTCTAACAGGGTGAGCCACATAGACCTAGAAATGTATAGCGGTACACCCACTACTGTCCTCCATGAGATTCTTCATCTGACACCCAAAGGAGAATCACAACCAGGTTTGCTCCCTTTGTTCTATTTCAATTCTACCAATTCCATGGAATAAGGCCTTGGGACCTTAGAATCTACTTTGGGACCGACAAAGATATCATGAGCGGTGTAGACTGAAGATCTTGAGGCCACTAAGAGCGGGAATAACCAGGGCATGTTGCCAAGATGAGAAACTTACATCTTGGCCCTCTGGAGTGCCGTCCTTCAATGAGGGTCTAGAAGACTGTTGAGACCAAACCGAAGACTCCGAGAAGGTCCGATTCCTGTGGGTGGGAGTTGCTGGAACTGGAGATTGTTCAGTCTCCTCATTTTCCTTCTTTAAAAGGGAACCAAAATCTACCCCGGATTTCAGAAACTCAGTGTAAGTCCCCTTTTGCACCATTTTGCCCTAAAACAAAAATAAGAATTTGAAAGGAGAACATTTGCATTTGATAATAATAATCTAATAATATACTAATCAAGAAAAGTTAACTGGTCTTAAATTATGATTTTTGTGAGAAAATTATCCTTAGGTCTGAAATCCTGGTTGACAAATCTAGCTCAATTCAACTCGACACAGAACTGAGCGTGCTGTTCTCTGCTGAACCCTATGTTGTGTGCCGGGGGATGTAAATGTGGAATCACGCGTTAAAACTGGAGGTCACTAACACAACTACCGTGGGCACTTAAAGAAGAAAAAGCACAGATGTTGGTGAGAGTATCAGTACAGGCTTTTAAGGTAACATGGAAATTGAGATGAGCCTCGTGTAACAAGAAGAATCTAAAAGAACAGAGTCAACTGGGGAGAATATTCCAGGGAAGAAACTTGAGATAGACACAGAGGTGGGCAAAAGCACATCCACACAGGTAAGAGTTACTCCTCAACTCTTTGCTGACCGTCATCATAGATCATGTGCCCCGCTGGGATAAGACATGTGGGAACCAGCCCTGGACACTGGACCCATGAGTGGCATCTTCATGGTCTTTAATCTAAAACTGCCCCACAAATTCAGGAAATTCCCAACTGCAAATTCAACATTCTACATGTTCAAGTAATCAAACAACGAGGCCAGCAGGCAGAGGTGGCTATAAAGCCTTGATACCTATGAAAGCAAACCAAAACCTGAGCCAGAGTCAACGCACTCAAATCTGAGAAAATGAAACTTAAGAACAACCAATCACAAGCAGCCAAGGCTTTCCCAAATCAGGCAACTGCTCAAGCTATAGCCAATCAAATCCTTTCCTCTGAACACACGTGACACTTCATGGCAAGGTTTCCCTTCCTCACGAAGTTATATAAAATAATGTGCAGGTGTTTTCACTCTTTTCTCACCCCATGAAACAAGACTCAGCTAATTTACTCAGTGGCAAACAAAATATGAGGCAAAATCCCAGGATGCAAAACAAATCAAAGGAGGGCAGCTCTGGTTAAAGCAGGTCAGGTGGAGGAAGGGCCCACGACCCTACCTGGTACCACCCTTGTCCTATTCCCTGAGGTGGTCGGTCCACTGAGAAAACCCAGTGAAGATTTTGGGAACCATTTGATACTGCAGAATTAAAAAATTATTCATGATACACTGTGTCTTGTTCGACGTGGGACGGCAAAATTCATACACCTTATTTGACGAAATTACCACTTAGCATCCGTAAGATGCACAGGAACGACTAGTGTTTTAGGGAGAAATTTTACTCAGCAGCCAAGCACTGACAATTCCAAGAGGGGGCGAGGGGGCAGCCATTAAAATATCCTCAAAAGAAGCAATAAGGGGACCCCAAAATACCTAGGCACTGGCTAAACAGGTTATTCTTCTGCTCATAACACTGCCAACACTGGGGTTTTACCACGCTAGTTTCACCCCTCTGCATGAGATTAATTGTTCTCAACTTTGAGGACTCGGAGCTCCCTACTCCTGGACGAGAGGGGGAGGAGTCGATACATGGAACTGCTTCTAAAGAGACAGAGGTTCCGCATTTTTATAATCTTTCTTCGGGCAGAAATTCACCTGATGAAGTGAGGGATTTGACCAAGGGCCTGTTGAAACAGACAAGGTGGTTTAACGACGGAGGCGCTGAGGCACAGAGGCAAAGAGGCTGAGCAGCGATGCATCAAGCAACCAGAGCCCAAAAAGTTCTCACCAACCTCCACCTCCCCAACCATACTAGCTGTAGTGGGTTGAATGGCAGCTCCCTCAAAAAGATGTGTTCAAGTCCTCAACATGACACCTGTGAATGTGACCTTATTTGGAAACAGGGTCTTTGCAGATGTAATCATGTTAAGTAAGATCAGGTCATATGGGAGTAGGATGGGCCCTAACATCCAATATGACTGATGTCCTTATAAGAAGAGATATAAGACTCAGACAGACACAGGGACAATGCCATGTGACAACAGAGACAGAGATTATAGTGCTGCAGTACAAGCCAAGGAATGCCAAGATTGCCCAGAAGAGGCAGGGAAGGATTCCACCCTAGAGCCTTCAGTGAGAGCACGGCCCTGCCAGTACCTTGATTTCGGATTTGTGGCCTCCCGAATGGTGAGACGATAAATTTCTGTTGTTGTAAGCCACCCAGTTTGTGGTACTTCGTTATGGCAGTTCTAGAAACTGATACACTAGCCTAAGCCCATACTTCTTTCTGTCTTCTGCGCTTTACTTAGACTTCTAATTGCTTCTCTTGTTGCCCCTCCAGCGAACATCAAGAGGGGTCTTTTAAAATCACGCGTCAGACCATATCACCCCTCTGCTCTGGACTGTCCAGTGGCTTCCATCCCATTTCCGGGACTGCTGCCCACTGCTCTGAGACCACCTCCCTCCATGCTCCCCCTGCTCACTCTGCCTCAGACACACTGGCCTTCCTCCAACATGCCAAGTCAGTTCCTTCCTTAGGACCCACCGCTGGACCCTCTGCCTCAGATGACACTCCCCCAGGTGACTGCATGGCCAGTACCTTCATGTCACTCAGGTCTCGTGAGGTACCACCTCCTCAGGGAGGCAGTCATGATATCAGCCCCTACCCCTCTATCTCTTTCGTTGCATCTATCCTCATACGTATGGAAGCCCCATGATGGCAAGGACGTGCCTTACTGCTGCACAGGCTCTCATACATATCAGACATGGAAAAAGACCTGTGCAGTAAGCTAGCAACCGGCTCTGCCAGGAGGGTGAGCACCTCTGACCAAGGGGTGCTGGGCTATCCAACCATGCTTCTGTTATTAACGGAAGATGCTCTTTAGGGAAACTGCATATGACAATCAAATGGATACAATCACGTCTTAGCATCTCTAATTTTCAAATAATGAATTAAGTAATGGAAGAGAAAAACAAAAGGTTCTAAATAAAATAGCATCATTATCCCTAACAATTTCACTAGAACAGTTACAATTTAGTAACGTTGAGGTAGCAATTTTATATACTTCAGGGTTTATATGGCTTAGAATGTAATAGTGACATTTCTACCTGTCTGTGGATTAATTCTCAAAGGCAAAAGTGCCAGCTCTGAGAAGAAAAAAATATAAAATTGAGGAAGAGGAGGGAGTTTACATGAACCCAAGGAGAGTGACCTGCTGGGAGGCCTTGCCTTCAACACATCTGAGTGCTAGCAAGTTCTACAGACTTCTAGAAATTACTTACATCTTTCAATATCAGAATCTGACTGGCAGCTTTTAGGTACTGCAACTGATGAGTCACTAAGATTGTGATCTTCTCATGCAAGGTTTGACAAATACACCTATAAATGTAAAAGGTACAGCATGCAAAAGCACATTAATAGGGGTGCTCCAAATTGAAAAACATACATTTTGAAAACATAACAAGACAAAGACAAGACAGTCTTCAAAAACCTGTGGTTTAAATACCAACAAAAATACAAATCAAATACAAATATAAATCAATTAACCTGACTAAATCCTCAAATTCAGCAGTAGCAAACTTGAGTCTAGCTCCACTAAGAAATTCTAAAAAGCAGTCCAGGGCAGGAGGCAGCAACCACTAAGATTTTTTTCCTAAAATTCAACTTAACAATTATTTATATAGTTCATTATGAAAAACAATTGACCAATACTGAGATTCTAAAACCTGACTGGACTAAAATACTAATTATTTTATCACTGTAGAGGAATAGGAGAGGGAGGGGTTTGTCATATAAAAATGTGTACATTTTTCTTAGACAGTTTCCTAGATGATTATTTATGATAATTTATGATGCACATATTAACCAAAATTAAAAAGCCTCAGCTTCTCGGTAACCTTTGCCAAAAAATATTAGGTACAAAATGAACACTAGCACAGCCTCGGTCAGTCCCTACAATATTCCCAGTCCCATGCAGGAAGCAAATCTTTCATTAGGACTGATAAACCTCCTGAATATGAAAATGAAAGAACAGAATCCAAATGGCCCAAATCATAGTAGAAAATCATCCAATGAGTCAAAGGACACGCCAATTCTCTTAGCCAAGACCCACCTTAGTATTCAACCTTAGAGTCTTGTTTTTACAGTAACCCCTCAAAGTGCTCCTACGTTTTAAATGCAGACCCCCGGGAACTCAGCCCCAGCCTGCATCCCACCATGGTCTGCAACCCCTCCAGGCACACAAGTAGCCAGGTGCCAGGCCCCAGTGACCACAGGCCGGGCTCCCCAAGGCCCACGCAGAGTAAATCTCAGGAACACAGGGCACAACTCAACCTGCTGACGTGGGTCAGATCAAGGGTTCTGGGGGCACCTGGACTGGAGTTCAAATCCCTGCTCTACCTCTAACTAGCCCAACAACGTCAGATGAGCTACTAAACCTCTCAACCTCATTTTCTCCATCTCAAACTATGGCTAATGTCAACTCACTGGTACGTTCTGAGAAATAAAAGCACTAATCCCTCAGTAAATGTTGGCTCCATTCTCCACTCTCCCCCTAACCCACAAGAGGCCATTTGCTTTGGATTCAGGATAGAAAGTTCTAAGGGTACACTTTTGAGACTGGGCCTATGATCAGAATGTAGATGGACCAGGATGCAGATGCATGTACTATAGCTTCATTCAAGTCCAAATGGATTACTTTTTCCCCTTTGACACGTCTTTGTTTGGCTTTCATACCTAAGTTTCTTAACCCAGTAAAGCCCTCTTCAGGCTTAGTACTAAAACTTTTAATGGAATTGTTTCTCTTTAACTCAAAATTACCTGTCTTTAATCCCTGAAGGCGGATGTTAACCTAATCTGATGGGTTGCTATGCCAGAGATGGGTCAACTCAAAAGTTTAAAAATGTTTTCTTCTTAACATTCCATCACAGATGAGGTAATATAAATAATTACAATGATGTTATCAGTTGATGGCTTTCGATTTTTTTCTATATTATGCTGTTCATCAAAAACTCCAGGAAAATACTGTATTTTCCTAATTTTAAGAGTAAAAATTTCCAAGTCAGGCCATATAAAATAACTGATTCAGCAACGAGTTGTTGAACTCTTATCCTACACAAGGACTGTTATGAGGTATCACATACCATGGTGAAGGTGATACATATAAGAAAAACAGAGTCACTACCTTCATTCATTCAACCAACCAACATTTGTTGAGGTGCCAGGCACTGTTCTAAGTGCTGAGAATACATCCACTGGTCAAGAAAACAGGCAATATTCTGCATCGTGGAGAGGGAGACACATTAAACGAATACAGAAAACACACTAGCGGGTTGTGATGCGTGCTTGAGAGTTGCTATCTTGGATGGAGGTGACACGTGAGCCATGAGACTATCTAGGGAAACATGCCTGGAAGAAGGTACAGCAGGTGCAGTGGTTCTGAGACAGAAACATGCTGTGCAAAGGCGCCTTGGTGCATTCAGTTTAGTGGAGGATGCGTAAATGATCAAGTATAACCACTGAGGGCAGTGGGAGGTCAGGAAGAGCATGATTCCCCCCAGAGGGAAAGGCAGCAAGGTGGGGTCTGCACCTTTCATCTTCCTTCATTGCCCTACACACTGTCCCCTGGCTCTCAGACAGAAAGAACAGTTTCTGTACAGACAGATATGAGAAAGGGCTCACCTCATTCAGGGCCCTCCCCAAAGCCAGCATGGCTGGAATACTGAGTTTGTGTGAGGACGTGGTGGACGGGCGAATGCCCGTCGGGCAGACAGCAAAGAACTTGTGTGCCTTTGAGGACTTGGAGCTGCATTCTGAACGTGAAGGGGAGTCTGTGAATGTTGAAGCAGGAAGGGTGAACTGAGTAGGCAGCAGTGAGGGAGTCTGATTACAAAGAACTGATTCCTCAGGAGGCGGGGGTGTCTGGTGATATGGGGAGTCTGGTCACATGGGGCTTTCTAAACTACAATAGGATCCATAGCTAGACACCAATTCCAGTGGAATCAGTTCATCTAGGGGCCCCTAACACGCTGTATGTGATAGAATCCACTTAACGTTTACAACATACAGTTGTAAAACTTACAAACCTTAATAACCTCGGATATATATTCACGACTGAAGTAAACTGTTAACGGCAAGTGGAAGTGTAATTCATTCACTTTTAATACAAAACACTTCACATTACCAAGCTTCCACACAACCGCCATCTTTCATAGCATATTGTTCAATCCAATTTTCTAACTCGTTGAGAACATTCTCCAGTTGCTGCTGAGTGATTTCCTAAATTGCATTCGTGCTCCCTGCCCTAAGTTTCCCCAAAGAATGTGGTTCTGATTAGCAAACAACAATTTTAACAAGCCTGCTTCTATCAAGTGTATATCCAAAGTTGTTAAACCCGAAAGGTGCGAGAAGACTTGATAAATACCTCCTGTGTTCAGAGAAGAACTTGGGGGAGCTTCTGTGATAAGCATGCTGATATTCAGCAATTAGAATGCCTTCCTCTCTCGTTCCTACTGACACGAATGCAACGGCCAGCAGAAACCGTTTTCGGAGTCATGGCGAACTCGTGCAGACAAGACCGGGTGACAGACATTCACGAGTTCAGGGTGGGGCATGGGGACCAGGGAGGCTGAGCTACTCACGATGCCGAGGGTTGGGGCGGGGGTGGGGGGGGGGCCCTCCTCTGTTACCGCAGTAGCACCCTGTCCCTGAGCTCAGTAACAAGCCACAAGGCACTTTTCTGCCAGAGGAAAAATTCATCGAGTCATAATCAGGAGGAAGCAGAAAAGGGAGTCAGATCAGAGAGCTGGAGGCCACACCAGCGTCAGCTGCCCTGTTCTCTGCGTTCTGAAAGATTCAACACTACTGTGCACTTTTTTTTTTTTATTGTGGCAAAATATACACAAGATAAAATTTACCATTTTAACCATTTTTAAGCATCCAGCTCAGTGGCATTAAGTACACTCACACTGTTGTGCAACCATCACCACCATCCATCTCCAGAGCATTTTCAGCACCCCAACACTATGCACATTGTACATACACAAGCTGGTGGAGAAACGGCCAGGACCCCTGCTTAGTGGATGACGGGGAGTCCCAGCGCCCGGGATCCAGAGCTCAGAGCCACCTCACACTGTCTCACTCTCACATCACTGACTGCTCAGATCTCTTGACTTTGCTATTTAGGACCTGTTGTGAATGAACTGTGTCCCCCCAAATGCACACGCTGACACTTTAACCTCCAGGACCTTAGAATTTGGAAAAGGGGCCTTTAAGGTGGTAATTAAGTTAAAATGTGGCCGGATGGGGGGGGGGGTGCCTTAATCCAACCTGACTGGTGTCCTTAGAAGAAGAGATTAGGCCGTAAGGAGAGAGACACCAGGGATGCACGTGAACTGAAGAAAGACCATGTGAGGACACAGTGAGAAGGAAGCCAAGGAGACAGGCCTCTAGGGAAACCTGTCGACACCTTGATCTTGGACTTCCAGCCTCCAGAACTGTGAGAAAATTGATTTCTATTGTTTAATCCACCCTGTGTGTGTACTTTGTAAAGGCAGCCTGCTATAGACTGAATGTTTGAGTCCTCCAAAATTCAAATATTGAAACTTAATCCCCAGTGTGATGGTATCTGGAGGTGGGGCCTTTGGAGGTGATTAGGTCATGAGAGTAGAGCCCTCATGAATGGGATTTGTGCTCTTACAAAGGAGAACTCAGAGCTGGCTCCCCCCTTCTGCCATGTGAGGACACAGCAAGAAGAGGGCCATCTATACACCAGGAAGCAAGCCCTCACCAGACACCAAATCTGCCCTGATCTTGGACTTCCCAGCCTCCAGAACCACAAGAAATAAATTTCTGTTATTTACAGGCTACCCAGTCTATCCTATTCTGTTATATAGCAGCCCAAGCAGACAAAGACACAGCCCTAGCAAACTAACACAAGACCTTACCGTGAGTATTTCCAAATAGCTTTCTGTCTGCTGTACAGCCTGCATCCTCCACTTGAGGAGGCCCTGCCTGCTCATCTTTTCACAGGCCTTGCTTCTTCCACACCTTTACATCTACTATTCGCTTTATTTTTTTTTTTTATAATTTTATTTATTTATTTTTCCCCCCAAAGCCCGAGTAGATAGTTGTATGTCATAGCTGCACATCCTTCTAGTTGCTGTATGTGGGATGCGGCCTCAGCATGGCCGGGCAAGCGGTGCGTCAGTGCGCGCCCAGGATCTGAACCCGGGCCGCCAGCAGCGGAGCGCGCGCACTTAACCGCTAAGCCACGGGGCCGGCCCTACTATTCGCTTTAGCAGAAGGAACTAAATCCATTCCTCAACCTCTACAAACCCTTCCCAGCCTGTAGGACCACAGGGCACTTCCTGCCAAGCCCAGCCCATAGTGAGCTTTCCAATTTAAGCTGAATGCCTATAGCTACCCACTTCTACTTCCATATAGCATTCATTAACCTATCAGCAAAACCCACTTCAGCCTTGAGTATGCTGAACTTTTCCCATGCATTTGTCTTGACAAACTCCATGTAGGGACAAATTTCTCAGGGGCAGGAACAAGATCTAAACCTGGTCTCCCTTATTCTGCCCAGTATGGGTCCTTACCCTCTCTTGGCTTATTGTCCTCCTTTGTAAGCTAAGATGTTTGTGCAACAACATTTGTAATAGCGTCAATCTCAGTGCACACAGTAGGGCTTCAGTAAGTGCAGCTGAAAGGGCTCATCGGCTTTAACAAAGTGAACAACAGCAAGATAACTGTGGGGTACATGTGGTGCTGTTTTAGCAAGAGCAAGTTCACGATGCTTTCACAGAGGCCAGTCTAGACTACATAGGAAGCGTCCGTCAGCATACGTTAGGTTATAATATACACAGAAAAGACTCCACTGTTGTTCTACTTCAGTGGCTCAGTGGCTAAGCAAGAGCCAAAGAAAACAAATTCCAGAACACAAAGTGAGAGTCGGAAGTTAAGCCAGATTTTAGACACCTACTTTCAAATTCAAGTTAACCCTACATTTGTGGGTCTTAAGTAGTAACTTGAACAAGAATCTATGAAACAACATTAAATTCTTGAAGCCATACTCTGATAAGGAACAAACCATTCTTAAATTCTAGACTTCACTAAGTATTTCCAAACCTTCAGCATAACAAGCGTAACAATGCCTTTCCATGGAAGCCGTATAGTGGGACTGAAAACTTCACTTCTAATGTGCCACAAACAAATGATGGAGGAAAAGACTGGCAGCCAAGTCCCAGGTTACTGCGTTCCACTCTTCAATTTAAAAGCTGCACCTCATCTTTCTTATTCCTGGGGTCTGACCCATCCACTGCGTCCTGGATATCAAGTGAAAGGAGCAGGAGTAAATTTGCCATCTATGTCTTAACTCCCTAAAGCACATTCTCCACTCACCTCCACACACTGTAAGCACCTTCTGTATTTTCCTATCTTGACCTTATATTTACGCAAAATTATCCTAAAATGGATCTTTTGTGTGAGGGAAGGGAGGAGAAAGAGGGATACCCGAGTAGAGCGAGCTGAATCTTCTGAAGCACAAGGCCTTCCTCAGCCCACTCTACAGGATTCTTGGAAGTAGAAATGACAGAAAACACGAGCAAACTCACAGTTCAAACAAGTGCCTGCTGACTTCTGCATCTACGGCACTGAGAGGATCGTCCAGGAGGTAAATGTCTGCATCTTGATACACTGCTCTAAAAAACGGAAGGAGATATCAGACAGAAGAATGCTTCACACTCCCTGGATTTCAGCTCTCAATCATCATAGTGTTCAACAACTCAGATAATGTTCATTCCAAGAGCCAACGAAATAATCCAAAACTAGGGCTTCACACAGTGCCCTCCACCCAGTGAGCGGGGTCTACAAGTTCACCACCACTAGAAGCAGCATAAGAGGCATGTGCAGAACGGCAACTGAAATGCGATTTACCTTGCCAGGTTGACCCGGGCTTTCTGCCCTCCACTCAGCGTGGCTCCTCGATCTCCTATCACAGTTAGATCTCCATTTTCCAAAAGCTGTAAATCCTATACGGAGATAGAAAAAAAAGAGAAAGAAAAAAACTTAAAATACGTTCTTCTGTCATCCTAAACTTTTGGCATTAGTTCTTAATACATGTATTTGATCAATGGCAATGGAAATACTTCATAGTGACTAAACGGTAACCTTGAACCTTTCAAAAACTCTCAGGACTTTTTGTTGCTATTCTATAGTTCTCTTCACAGCATTTATGCACTTAATCATTTTAATAGATATTTATTGAGCACCTATGTCAGGCATTGTTCTGGGCACAATGAATTCAGCAATGAAGAATACGAAGTCCCTAGGGTTTCCATGGTGGGACATTAACAATATGAAGAATTACTTAGTACTTAGCACAAGTACTAAGAAGAAAAAGGGGGCCGGCTTAGGGAGACAGAGTGAGGCAGAGAAAGTACATTTACGTGGGGGTCGGGAAGGGCTCTGATCAGAGGAGGTTTAGCAGATACCTGTTGAAGGGTAGAGTGGGCCTGCGCAGATCTGGAGAAAGAGTGTTCTGTGTGGAGGGATGAGCGAGTGCAAGGGCCATGGGGCAGATGCATGCCCAAGGTGTTCCAAGATTAGCAAGGAGGCCAGTAGAGCTGGAACAGAGTGAGTAAGGAATGGGGGGATGAGAGCAGAGACATAAGCAGGACGGGCCATGGATTCACTCCAAGTGAAGTGGGGAGAGACCTCGGGGGAAGACTGACATGATCTAGCTTAGGTTTTTAGGGAATCACTCTTGCCTCTTTTTGGAAAACAGATGGTAAAGGGGAAAGATGAAGGCAGGATACAAGTGAGGAGGCTACCGCAATAATCTAGGCGACAGATGACAGCAGCAAAGACCAAAATGGAGCAGTGGACACAGGGAGAAGTGGTCACATTCTGGACAAGTTCTGAAGGTAAAGTCTATAAGACCTGCCAATGAGATGAGTTTGGGTTCTAAGAGAAGAGGAGGAGTACACTGTTTTTGGCATGAGAAAGGGGAAGAAGAGGATCGCCATTTACTGAGTTGGGGAAGATGGTGGATGCAGGTTTAGGAGATTTCAGTTATGCGCAAGCTGAGATGCCTACTGGTTGCAGCTGGATAAACAAGCCCAAAGGTCTGTGCTAGAGGTACAAATAGGAGAGCTGTTAGCACGTGCATGACTTTTAAAGCCACGGCACTTATTTTATGGAGGAATAAGTGAGTCTTAGCTAGCTATTTTACTGACCTCTGCCTCAGCTTGCCACAGAGAAGGGATGACACCTGACCCAGGTCTTCACAGTGACACGTAAGGCACAGTGATAGGGCGACAGATAAGATCTGTACAAGAAAGAAGAGCAGTCCAGGCAGGAAAAGCCAAAGGGAAAGGAACAGTGTTCGAGGGACACCGAGCAGATCAGCTGAACTAAGCAGACGCTCGTTCTGTGCAAGCCAGGAAAACTCAAAGCCAAGGAGGAGAAGTTGTTCAGATTTTAGGATCTACTAGGAATCTATCAAAAGTTATATTTGAATATTACTTAAGAAAAAAATGGACAAATCACAGTACCTGGGGAAAAAAAGATGACAACAACATCCCCAAAATGACAGGATAACAATCACGTTTAAGTTCCACAATATTATACTAGAAATCTTTACTTATATCGCCTATAATTGTCACCAGGCAGATGCTGGCAGAGACAAGCAGAGTCTGGGGGAGATGCTGGTTGTCTACTAAAACTCACAAGTATCAACACAGGATACACAACAGCAGTGCTTTCCACAGATGAAGGCCTCATTTCTTTGTTTCTACTTGAGCAGATTTCGAGAGAAAGCAAATGGCACATTACGATCTCTGTGATAAGCCCTTTGACCTCCCTAAGTCTCATTTTCCCCTTCGACAAAATGTGCTGGAGAAACAAGAATTCCTGAACTCAAGGATGCTGAGACTCCAAAGAAGCAAGCACGTGAACAGGCTCCATAAACAGAAAAAGGACATGATTAATTGTAATTTGCTGTTGGTGACTGACATTTTCTGATCAAACAGTAGGACCCCATTCAGTCTGATTCAGTGTGAATCACCATATGCAAAGCACACCACCAATGGAGAAGAGAAAACAAGTATCTCCATCATAACCCATCCCAACAAACCACAAAGACACAGGCACACACAGAGTTCCCTGCATACTCAGAGCTTAACTGGACTGCATCAGCTGAAAGAGAGCTCTATCCTGAAAATTCATTATTTCACACTATTTCTCTGCTGAGCTCAGAAGTTAATACCATCTCGTGCTTTTGGTTTTCATGAAAACAATGAGGTATTTTAAGCCAGGTTCCCAGCCTTCCACACCCACACACACTCACACACTATTTACTCAGCATCCGTTACACGGTTGACACTCCTTGCAAAGTGTTCCCCTTAGTTTTTTATGCCTTGATTTCATGCTGTTTTGTTTTCCTTCTCAAATAGCACCATGTTCTAGCACAGCAATCTTAGCCATTTTGTAGAAAAGGCACTTAAAATCCACTCCTTCGTTTAGCCCAGTTAGGGAATAAGAAATAGACTCTCTCCACATCTGACAGAACTTCAAGTGTGTTGTTGACTCTGCAAACTATTTATGGACAAGCCTCAGATGGGAAAAACATGTCAAAGGATTTGAAGTAGAATCCCAGTCAGGCTAATTTTCTAATCACGATTTTCTGGTTTGGATAATGGGAAAAGCCTGAGCTGAGCACATATTACAATTCCTCCCAATGAGAGGAAGGTATTCTTACTCATGTTAGTCACCCCTCAGTTAAATTTAACCAATTATCTCATCTACGACCGCTTTCACTGAAAAGCAGACATGCCAACTAGAGGAAAACCAGGAAATGGCTGTGCTGGCTTGATGCCACTGGGCCAGAAACACATCAAATGCCCTTTAGCGATCAATGGTGGAGACTTCCAGTAGAAACACCACTGAGCAGACTGTTGAAATAGTTAATGGGGGCCAGACATGAGGCCCTGGCAAAAGAGGGCTGGACCCCAGAGTCAAAGAGCAGGAGCCCCACACCTTGTTCACAGTTTTGCTTCCATTTGGAATTGGCTTCCTATCATGTCGTGTCAATATCTCCCCATCTCTCCAGGCACAGCTCAAACACTCTCTCCCATGAAACCATCCCTGAGTTTCACCAGTCAGAAGTCATCTCTCCTTCTACTGGGTTCCTAAGGCTTTGTTTATATTTCTCATGAAAGATTCATCTTATTGTGCTGCATAATTTGTGTGCGTGTACACAGCTTCTCTCCCCATTAACAGCTCCTGGACGGTAAAGTCTATGCACCAAGCACGGTTCTTGGCGTGATACATGATAGGATGCCTGATACTGATAATCTCTAATCCTCACAATAGGCTACAGAGTGAGTATTAGCCCCATTTCACAGATGAGGAAACTGAGGCTGAGGTTACATAATTGGTTTGAGGACTCTCAGCTGTTAAATGGACCGGGTAGAATCTGAACCAAGCTCATCTCAATTCACAGCCTTTTGCTCTTTCTTTCAACACCATGCTGCCTCAAGTGGTTACTGAAAAATATATTCGAAATAAAGGCAATACTAAAATAACTCTAGACACGAAAGTTTCAATAAATTAGTCTCCATATTTCGATTAGCCTCATGTATCCCTTTGTACTCATGATTTCTTATCTCCTGTCACAGTGAGTGATATAGTTATCCAAATTGAGAAATGAAAAAACAAAGATATGACAATAATTATTCTATGATTGTCAAGGCAATCTGAAAAGAAAATGTCCAAGTTGGCAGAAATGTAGTAAATACCAGAAGAAACTATAAGCTTGTGGGCACTGCAGAGCGGTTTGTAAATTCAAGTGATCTAGGTGGGAAAATATTAAACCAGAATTTATCAATGCTACACCTTTGAATATGTATTGCCTAAAAAAGTCATCAACTGGTAAAAGCTAATGTGAAAACAAATGTTACATAAAATATCGCTTGTGTTATGCTAACAGAATATTTTTATTGTTTTATATATATATATATATATATATATGCAGAGCACCTAAATAAATATCGACTCAAATAATGGACATCACATACATAGATACTTTCTAATGTGTCACATTTTGTGGATATGATTTTACCCCAACCTGGCTGCTCTTGATAATTAAAAGCTAATATTTTTTTAACATTATTCTAACATTTATAGAGTGCTTATCTAGCAATCTGGCGCTTTAAAATCCTTACTGCATTTCATCCTCAAAACATCCTTATGAGGCTGACAGTAGTATCATCTCCATTTTACAGATGAAGGAACTGAGGCTTTATAAGGTTCAGACAATCAGCCAAAATCACACACCTACTCAACAGAGAAACAGACTCCAACCCAAAGCTGTCTGTATCAGGGGCCTTGGAGTTTAACTATCACCCCTGCAGGGCCTAACGTTATGACGCTGTTTCCTAAATTTCATTCTACAACTCACTACAATGTCACCTTGAATATGTCGTCAGCCTAAATCGATGTTGCTAAATGTGATGACTTTCTATGTCCCTATTTTATTACAGAAATGTTTTCAGCTCAATGAACTTTAAAGTTTACTTCAATTAGATCTAGTATAATACATCTAGTTGTAATTAATATATGTAATACAAGAAATGTTGCTTTTTTCTGTTTTTTTTTCCTCCAGGATTTGGGGGCAGGGGAGGGAGAGAACTACAAAGAGAAATATTTATTTTATTTATATGAATGTATGTACGCATTTAGAGAAAAGGACTGTAATGGTGAGAATAGCTACCATTTACCGAAAACCTGGCATGCTTGCATTTTACAGGCATTGCCTGTAGTCTTTACAATAATCCCACACCACCCTCCCCCACCCATTTAATAAGAAAAGAAACTGAGACAAACACCTGGAGTTACTACCCAGGACTGTTTCTCTCCAAAGGCCAAGTCTTTTCTACTATACATGCAGCCTCTGCATCTACAGGCCAAAATAATTCCAGGATGCCCCTATTATCTGTGGCCGTCTTATGCCCATCCACCGACACAGGGATTCCACAAGGAGATAAGCAAAGGATCTCACAGCTCATTAAGTGGTTCCCTGCTGTCTTAAGGACCTTGCTGATCCCCTGCTAACCAGTCACAGATGGCATTTCAAAATGGCAGCAAAACCTCTCGGAAACCTTATGACCCAATGTCCACATGTTGCAGCACGAACATCAGAGGCCCAGGCAGGCAACAGGCCATGTCCAAAGTGACGGCAGGTAAGCGATGAAGCAGGGGCCAGGACTCCACTCTTGACTCTCTCTCCACCCTGGGCCTCCCTTCCTGCCAACGAGGGAATGAGCACATGGGAACACCTACTTTTCTCCAGAGACATTCACAGGTGGGAGCATAGAAAGGTGGGGCTGAGCCACAACTAGAAACGCAAGGTCATGCAAAGAAGTAGCCAAATGCCGGCCTGGGTCATTGGAGTCTGATCTGGGCACCAGGAGTTGAACCTGATTAAAGTAAAGAGGAAACGCCCGAGATCTGTTTACTCTACATACCACATTCCACCTTTCTCAGTCACCCAATTTTTATTATAGCTCTTTCTTATAAACTTCCTCCATCGAGAGCAGCACGGCACCATGGAAAAGTATGGAATCTAGAATCGTGCAGAAATGGATCTGAACTTGAGCTGCAAATGTTTAGGTGAGTCGTTTCACCTCTCTAAGCCTCAGTTTTACCAACTATAAAATGAGGATGGTAATATTGACAACAGTGGCAAAAGATTAAAAACTCATGTACCTTTGTGCGTGTTTGAGAGACAGAAAATGATGAGCACTTGGACTCTGAATAAATGGGAGTTATTATTACTTTTATATTTGCTTTCCCCCTTTTCTTGTACAGCATACATACTACTTAATAAAAATTTAGCTCATGATGCTAACTTCATGTCATTTCTAAAAACATACCATCTCTCATTAACAATAACCCAGGAGAAAGAAAGAAAAGCCCACTAAAGAAGCAATCATGTTTTGTCCACATCATCCTAAAACACTACTCACCTGATACAATCTATGCTGTTCCAGCCACTGTTCAAGCAAAATGCCTATTTCCAGACAAAGCGAGCGCAGAGCCCTCACCACCACACCTGCGAAAGCCCGCCCAGCCTTTCCATACAGTATAAAAGAACAGTCGGACGTCCAGGCTGCTCTGAAGAGACCCCGGGGAGAGCCCTTTAACGCTCTTATTCACTGATTTTTATAACCCAAAGAGAGTAACATAGTATTTATCAGTATTTACCCTTTTTTTCTCTCTTTGCTAAATTATATTCTCCTTTCAGGTGTAAGTTCAGTTTTCATCATCTTTTCACCCATTTTATTTAAATCCCAATGTGCAATTAAACATTTCATCTTGCCATGTTCTTTGAAACTCAAAGTCATTTAAAACAATCTCTCCCCCTAGTACAATGATGCAGTATTAAAAAGAAATTTTAAAGCATTCTGTTTTCTTTAAATAATAAAATACAAGTCAAAAACGAAGTGGAGAGAGAAACCTATAGACTGAAAGGGACCTAGGAGACTATCAACGAAGTGCAAAGTACAGACTTTATCTAGAGGCTGATTCAAACCAATAGTTGCCAAGATTTCCTAGATAATTAAAGAAATGTAAAACACTGACTAGAATGTTCATGATATTAAGGAATTTTGGTCACTTTTCCAAGTGTGATAATGTGGTGTTTTTTTTCAAAGGCATTGTTGTGTTTTAGAGCTAACTAACGAAATATTTATAGAATAATATGAGATCTAGGATCTGCTTCAGAATGATCTGGGGTGGGGTGGGGCTAGCAGAGGGCAGGGGCAGAGATGCAACAAGACCAGCCACCAGCTGATCGTGGCTGAAACTGAGATGGGTACATGAGGGTTCGTTACACTATTCTCTCTACTTTTGCAAATTCTTGTAATTGTCCATTAAAAAAAAATAAAAGTTCGCAAACTAAAACACCCCCCCACACACACACACAAAAAGCATTCTGTGAATGTCATTATCACATCAGGATTAAAACAGCAGTGTGTGTGTCTGCACATGTGTATTTACCCAGAAGACTAACTTAAAGTATTAAATAACACTCACAGATCGTGCAAAAAAAACTTTTAACAAACTTTATAGTTTAACCCAACTCTGCTGTTACTTGAAATTCGAGTGTATGCAAATCGAAAGTCAACACTCACCTTTTTCAAAGCACAAGCCTTTATGACTTTTTCATATCGTTCCTTTTCATATTTCTTCCCAAATAAAATATTACTCCTCACGGTTCCTGAAAACACCCAGGGCTGCTGAGAAACATATGCGATTCTTCCGTGCACACTGACCAGCCCGTGGCTCGGGGGCAGTTCCCCCAGCACAGCACTTAACAGTGATGACTGAAACAGATCGTAAACAAACACGTGTACAGGCAACACTCAGGACAGAACAAGCCACTGCAATACAGCCTCCCCCTACCCACGCCCCCTGTGTGTGTTGGGGGGGGGTTGATAAACATTACAATTCTGGAAATTGCAATTAAAAAAACAGAAAATGACACTATTGGTCAATGTAAAGTAATGGCTGATAAGGATCATCAACAAAATAGAGTATAATCCTGTGCCCAATAACGCCATTCAGTCAAAAATGGACCACATATGTGAGGGTCCCATAAGATTAGCATCACACAGCCTAGGTGTGTAGTAGGCTTTACCATCTAGGTTTGTGTAAGTACACCCTGTGATGTTCTCACAACGACAAAATCGCCTAATGATGCATTTCTCAAGAGTGTATCTCGTCGTTAAGCAACACGTGACTATATAACAATCTACTCCACCCAAGAGTTTCCCCCAAATGAAATGCTACGCTCAAAGACTAATTCAGAATGTTTAACATTCTTAACTAACAGAGTAGCCCCACATGACATATATATATATTCCATATGCCTGACGTTTAATGCAGTTGTTCCTGCATCCAGGTATCCTTTACTTAACAAAATACTTGTTCCTGAAAAGCTATGTGTACATAATATATCCAGTGCACCAGGAAAGATTATTAAAGGAACTCTGAAGTGAGTCATGTTTCCAAAGAGAAAAATCCATCATAAAGGAAATAATCCTCCTATCATTTATACACCCTACGTTTAGATTTCCATATTTTGTTGTTTCAGAACACACAAGACTAAGGGTGCATGCACATATCCTTCAAATCTTACAACATACAGACATGATACGTCTGTGCCTACTACTTATAACAGCGCTTATAACTCTGAGCTGAAGTAATCTGTGTGCGTCTCTGTTGCACTGCAGCACCTGACTGCTTCTGGAGGGCAAAGACGTCTGGGTCTTGCTTGTATCTGCATCTTTAGCTCCCAGCATAATGCCACACACAAGGCTGCACACTGACTACATGTGTGTTGATGTGACTTGGATAAGTCACATGAAGAAATGTTTAAAGCTTTCTGGAAGAGGCTTTACAAACTCCAGACTTCTTGTAGGGTGTACTATGACAAAAAGAAGTCCCCATTTTCTCAGTCATTCTATCCTGAATAGTTGTCACGTAAACAGTTTCCTTCCCTGAGATGTCCAACTTCCAGACAAGCAGTGCCCAACTGTGCAAGCTGAAGCACCAAGAAGGAAAACAGAACATGCCTTATCCAGATTTATCTGGCCATGCAACCTTCTCGCAAAACTAATGTCCCATGGAACACACTCTGAGAAATGCCATTCTAGATACACCTAATTCAAACCTGTGCTACACACAGCTTTGGGCTCAACCCCAAGAATTTAATACGGGATTCCATATTCCAAGCTGCCAGCCAAAAGGCATTAAAACTTACCTTTCCTGCTCCCACTGGTCCAACCACAGCTAACAACTCACGAGGCCTGACAGTGAAAGAAAGGTCTTGTAGGGTTGGAGTTTCCAATGCCTACAAATGAAAGTTTACAAAAACGCGCCCATTTCAACAAGGTAACGCAAATCACTTTAAAAGGTGGAGAATATAACATAATAGTCATTGCTACGTGAACATAACCCACATCTTTCTCCTTCCTATTTTAAGATATTGTGTCCTGGCGTCCTTTTCATCCAATCATATTTCTTTGGGGGTTTGAGACAGCATTAGCTGCCTTTAGGAAGGCCCATTCTTTTACCAGATTTCCATACGGACACAGCTCTAGATATCCATAGATTTTAAGTGGTAGAAATGACAAGGCACCTTCTTGCAATGAAAGCTTCTTAGTGCACACTAACTTATTAAAATAATATACTTAATAGAATATTAAGTATGGGAGGTTTTTAATCACGTGGAAGTTTTCATTATGACCTCTGGTTTTAATCTTCTATTTCATTAATGTCCACAAGGTGGCAGCATAAGTACATGGCATGAAATCACTAATCTCCATTTTCACTTGATAAAGAATGAATCTCAGTAAGGCTCAGAAAGCAAAAGGGCATTTTATATTATAAGCCACTCTTTGCAAATAAACTCCTGTAAATGATGGTTAAGGCTGCAATCAGAGCTCTAATTTAACACCACCAACAAAAAAAAATATGGGAATAAGGAAATTAGGTACCGTATCACGGGTCAAAGTGATCAAGTCTCAAGTTTATACCTGTAGCGTGCATGACCTGTCCTGGTTAAACAGAGACAGAAAAGTACCTCCACTGTAAAAACCACAGACGTACATGTGACAGCATACAATCCAATGCAATGGGGAAGAAGGATAATAGAACTCATGCTAATCAGAGGTTGTATTCCTGAGCAATCTATAAACTCTAAGATAAAGAGACTGAAGGGTATATGTACGTTTTCATATATACTAAGTGTTAAGAAAATTCTCAATAACTGCTAATGCTAAAACAAGTGGGTCCATATGATTACTAAAATGCCTAAAAGACTAAACACACAGCGAGAAGTAAAAGGTCTGGATAATCTTCAAAATGAAAAACTTCTCTGGAAATAACTTAATGACAAGTATTTCTAATCACAAAAAACAAGTCCCAGATTTTATGGGAATTATAAAAAATCTATCAAGAGGAAGCTGGATTTTAATACATGAGAAACATTTTTTTAAGCTTCTCCATTCCTTTCTTCATGTCTAACAACTAGTTCCTATTTTACTACTTTTTACTCAGTTTTGACTGTAAAATAATGACCCACAAAATGAGCTTCCTATCACTGCACCTCCCAGTTTCTTGTCAGGGCCAGACTGGGATTCCTCCCCCGGTGCGGGCTTCAGGACCGGGCACGGCGCAAGTGTGACCAGAAGGGGGCAGCACTCAACAGCTCAGGGGTGCTTGGCCCCTTCCCCTCATGGTTAACCTGACTCAGTGGCTGAGGCAACAAGGATCATCAACTGAGCTGCTACTCTGTGCCAGACACATTCTGGGCCCTGAGGATACAGCAGTGAACCACACAGAGGAAAGTTCTGTCCCACAGAGATTTAGAGGCTCCCACAGGACCATAAATTTTAAAGCTTAGAGATTGAGACCAAGTTCCATCATTTCACAAATGACACCTGTGTGGGTGAGAAGGAAGGCCTTCCCCACCTACCCACCTGGCTCTCTAGCAGAGCTGGTGAGCGAGTCCATGTCTCTCTCTGACCTTCCAGCCCAGAGTGCGCTCCATTCGGCCTCAGCTTTTCTCCAAAACCCCAATGTCTGTGCCCCTCCCCCACCCCAGGGGTCTCGCATCCGCGGCCTAAGCTGACAGGCCCTGATTACCCCCTAGCACAGGGCACAGTCCTTCCAGAGACAAGGCCAGGACAACAGAATGGGGTGTTCTCTACTACAATGCAAGGTGCAAAAAGGTCTGAGAACATGTTAAGTCCTTGGAAGAAAAACAAAACAGCTCATTTTACAATGTTGCATAGTTTGGTACAAAAGAAATGTGGTAATGGGTCATACAAACTATATGGTAGCTACCTCAGTACTTTACCTAACAACGGCATTCACAGAGAGTACGCCTTTATCACGGAATTTTAATGGTGCTTTCTATAAATGCTTACAGTGTATTATGATGAGACATACCAAGCAGGAGGTAAATCTGTATTAAGGTAAGATCTGTCAATCGGTATTAAGGCAGGGAGAAATTGTCAGGTTGGGTAATGCACCTGCGTGAGCTTCCACGTGCAAAGGTGCAGTGATGTGGTTTTATGTATTTGGGAACACACTATTGTTTTCTTGGTGGAGATGGTGGGCACTAAACTAGAAGTAAATGAACACGATGCAGGTGGAACAATACTTAGAATCACAGGCATGAAAAGACAGGACGAGTTCACGGAGTCTGGACACTTGCACCACTGGAGAAGGGAGAACCTGAGTGGAGGTGGGAAGGAGTGCTTGTCGAGCACCTGCTTGCTCTTGGCTCCATTCCCCACCCTTCCGCACTATGCTCCGAATCGCTGGCTCCCGCAATCTTCCCAGCAAACGCCAGTTCAGCCCTGGAGAGCAGCGGCTGAGGCTGGAGAAAGGAGAAGCTGGTACCCACCAGCACGCCCCCGCTTCCAGCAGCCTCCCCACAGTGGCCGCATCCCCTCTGCAGTGCCACTGCCCACACAGAGCAGCCCCCGGCACTGCGGTCCCCACTCCTGCCGGCAGCTCCTGGGATCCGCTCCCAACAGGGGACCCCTGGTAGATGCCACCTCCCCCAGCATCCCTCTAGCCTAGGGGTGGGAGCAGCTTCCTGCCAATGCTAATCTCTGGGCTGCCTCATCCACTACCGTTTGCCCTTTTGGCTCTTTCATCGCCTTATGTAACTAATTCCCTGCATGAAATCCCTCTCCCATGGTGTGAGTTCTGCTTTCCTGACTAATCCAGACTGATACGGGAGGATGTGCAGAGAGGACCACAGAACAAGGGGAAAAGCGTTCTAGCTGTCCATAAAGTGGGATGCACTGAGTTGAGAACTTCCTGAGAGAGGTCCCTGTTGGTTTTCCCATTTGCCTAAACGTCATAAATAAACCAAGTGCTGGAAAATCCTGTGACCTCACCAGTTCTATCTGTCAGCTTGCCACACAGTGAAACCCTTAAATTAGGAATCACTGGCACACACTATGCCCACCTGCTGCCTCCTCCCTGCCCTTGGCAGCCACCAAAGTAGCCAGCGCCACCCAGAAGCTAAGAATAGGGGAGCCCCCACCTTTCCCCACAGCAAAGATCCAAATCAGGGCTTTGCTCAGTATGTAATACGATGGTCTGATAACATCAAGGTAAAAAACATAGCCATTCCCCGAAGTCTCTCGTCTGTAACAATTTGTAACGTATTTGTTAGTTAACCCAATCCATACTGCAGCACTTGTCTGTCCAATCCTGCAAATTCTAACCGTACAAACTTACACATTTTAAGTTCAAAATGTGGTGATACGTTGAAAGCTCTCTTGAAAAGGAAATAACGAACAACATGCCAAACGCCTTAGGCTGATTTTACACTTAATGTCTATTCATTGCAAACTTTATTCCTGATTTTCAGAATTTTTATAACATACTTTCAGTAAATGAGCAAGTCTCATCTTATACCATGTGTGAAATCTCAAAATTCTCTATTAAATCTATGTCACCAGTCGTCTTTTAACAGTCATGATCTTGTAATGGAGGATTTGTTACCTTATCCCAAAAAGCAGAAAAATCTTGCACATGCACTATCGTTTTACCGTCTGATGGCAGCTGAAGGTTCTGCTGTGATATCTCATCAAGTAATAGAAAGTTCTACAGAAAAAGGAAAAACACGTTTAAAATGCAGAAATAAAAGCACAAACAAAACTAATTGCTTTCCTGGATCTTGCAATGAAAAACTTTACACAGTCTACATGTCATTTTATCATCTGTACTTAAAATGCTGGTTCACATCAGAACATACTAAATAATATATAGTATATATTACAGTCTAATATATATTATTATAGTATATAATTATATAATACAGTATACATAGGGAGTTTGTATATACATAGTATTAGAAAGCGAGGGAGAGCGCTCATGGCCACGAGGCTATCTTGGTAACTTTCTAAACAAGCGTACTGGTTCCTCCCTAAAGAGAAAATACGGCTCCAAACTTGAACACATTTACAACCTGGATAGTTATATTGTTTTACTTTTGTGTTACTAACCATAAACATGGGAGTTGGTAGGAAATGACCCTATAAATATTTACTGAATCCCACCATGTGCCAAGTACCATGCGACATGCTAGAAACACAAAGATGCAGGCCCCTCCAGGGCCTTCAGGGATCAAGCTGGCACAGGACAGACTCAGGACACAAGACCGACGGCCGAGACTGAAGGAGAGCCCGGGCCCTGCCCATATATCTGCTGTGACCTGCAGCTGAGCTGAAGTTCCCTGTGCTCTTCTCCTTGTGTGGGCCATGTCAGTGTATCACTACCCGTTATTAGCTACCACTTGAGGCATCGTCTAAAAAGAAAATGCTCTTATTAAGTTTCTGTATCTTAAAAAAAATGCTTTAGAAGCGTCTTTTCACAGTCACTCATCCTTTCCCCTTAATAAATGACCTCTCCTCGACAGCAGAATGGCCGTTGACGATCATCCACTGCTTGCTATTTTCCACACTAGTTAGCAGCTATTCAATACAATTAACTGAATAAAACAAAGTCCTGCTATCATTACAAATCTAGCATAAAGGTATATAGGAAAACTCCCTCTTGCTCTGCAACTGCTAGACATAATTCAATGAGAAAAGCTACAGTGCTACAGAAATTGAATAAACAACCAAGACCAGCCTCACCCCCCACCCAAACTTTGAACGTGTGGCAGAGACTGTAAGCTGCCCTCACAATCTGTTCTCATTCTTCTGTGTCACAAAACCCCTGATTTTTAGGTGGGGCATGACAGCCTAAAATGAGAGCCACACTTCCCAGCCTCCCATGCAGCCATGTGACTAAGTTCAGGCCAGGACCACATCCAGGAACCTTCCTCCACCCAGCAGCCCAGGGCTTGGAGGCTGACAGCTTGGTCACGGCCACATGCAGTGGCGTAATAACAAAGAAAGAGGCCGGGTCCTTAACACCCTGGAGCATCCCACTAGCCACAGAACTTGTTATAGGGTGAATTGTGTCCCCCCAAAATGGATGTTTTTTTCCTAACCCCAGTCACATCAAAATGTGACTTTATTTGGAAACAGGGTCACTGCAGATGTAATTAATTAAGGTGAGGTCATACTGGAGTGTGGTGGGCCCTAAATCCAATATGATTGGTGTCCTTATAAGAAGAGAAGGGAGATGCAGACAGGCACACAGGCAGAAAACGGCCATGTGACGATGTAGATATTGGAGTGATGGCAGTTGTAAAATGAGATTGGCCAGCAACCACCAGAAGCTAGAAGAGGCTAGGAAGGATTCTCCCTTATAGATTTCAGAGGGATCATGACCCTGATGACGACACCTTGACTTCAGACTTCTAGCCTTCAGAACTGTAAAACAATAAACGTCTGCTGTTTTAAGCCATCTAGTTTGTGATCATTTCTTACACAGAATACAGAACCTTACAAGGATTTTTGCATGAGAGAAAAAGAAACTACCTTATTTAAGCAGCTTTTTTTTTTTTTTTAAAGATTTTTTTTTATTTATTTTTCCCCCCAAAGCCCCAGTAGATAGTTGCATGTCATAGCCGCACATCCTTCTAGTTGCTGTATGTGGGACTCGGCCTCAGGATGGACGGAGAAGCGGTGCCTCGGTGCGCGCCCGGGATCCGAACCCGGGCCACCAGCATCAGAGCGCGCGCACTTAACCACCAAGCCACGGGGCCGGCCCTAAGCAGCTTTAACATGGCTATTCTAGGACCCAAAGGCAAACCTAATCCTAACCACTAGAGGACACAACTGAAATGAGCATGTGGAAATGTTTGAAAAGGAAAACAACACATAAATAAGCAAGCCGCTACTCTTAAAATCGTAAACATCCTTCAAGTCCTTAGAATCCTTGTCTATCATGACATACAGCAACAAACCTGACTATAACATTCTACTTCAAAAGAAAAACAGGTAAAAACTGCAAATGAAAACTTTCTTCTGTGTAGGAAAAGGAGAATGTGTTCCTATGCATTTCTCTCAAAAACTCAGCAAGTATCCAACAAGACCTGAGAACCTTAAGATCAGGCATGGCTTTTCCTACCTGTCCCACACCCGTGTCTAGCAAGGAGGCAGAATAGACAGATGGTGGTCTGAGGACTCCTTTGCAGGCTTTAAACCCCGCACAGCCTGAAATCTCTCTCCACACCACCTCTCCCATAGTCAGCCAGGTACCAACTCCTGCCCATTCTGCCACAATTCATCTCTGTCCCCAACTCCCCAGTCCTCTCGAAATAACATCGTTTCAGAATCTTACTTCCTACCAATCATTTGAAATTCTGATATAATACTGATTTTTTTGCTGTCCCTCTATTTCCCAGTTCCTTCCCCAGCACTCTCCAACACCGCCAAATCCACCCCAGACACCACTCCCTACTGATCTCCTTAAAACACCTCTAAGAATGGCCACCATGCTTAAACCCTTCAGTACCTAAGTCCATGCTCCCAAAGTGGCACCTGCCTGGATACCCTGAATACCAAAACCACCGATCCTTCCAGGCCCATCTCAAAGGCTAATCCTACTGGGAAGAGGCTCAGCACGGCACAGCTGGCACTGCCTTCCCGAGTCTGAATCCTCAGAGGGATATTAAGTCATGTAGAGGGTAGACACTGCGTCATTCACCCACTGACACAGTCCCAACTCCAGCTAACACCGAGCCTTGCAGAGTCAGCACATCACAGACATCTGCTGAAGGAATGAACAGACTATACAGCTGGTTCAAATTAATCAAACCATTGACTACATCGATACAGCCTTACATAGCTTAGGTTAACACACCAACAAGCAAAAGGTTATGTTATAAATCTTGTCTAGACAGAATAAAACTCCTATTTTAGCTTAAGCATATTACCAAGACATAAAATTCAATATTCAGTGTGTGCATATTAGAATAGAAACTCCCCAGCCTCAAAAAAAAAAGAAAGAAAGAAAAGAAAAACTATGCCCAAAGTGAGGAAGTAAATCTGTCGAGCATTTGCCCAGAAGCAATAGGTCTGAGTGGAGAAAGCAGTCACAATCTCCAGTGGTTAAATGAGACTCCATTCAACACACAACAGCTTGTAAAGGTGCCAGAACCACTGGCTGGATTCTTCTCTAGTACTCGGGCTGATGAAAACGCTAAAATTAAATTGCCATTAGAGCCATGGAGTGCATACCCAGAACAGGTCATGCAGGAAAGTATCAGACGTCAGAACTCGAGCCAAAAAGACTGACTTCAGAGTGGCTGGTAGGCAAAAACCTAAGCAGCTTTGTGAACAATATGACCTCAGAGAACTTTTTATTCGATGTAGGAGTCGCTGAAGACTTTCATTGCTTTGAAGTTAAGACAAGATCTTTCATAATCCTATTGGACCCGTTCAATGCCAAGACCATCAGTTCTCTTTCTTTACTTAGAGAAAAATATAGAGGGAACTTCTTGGGCCTGTAACTTCATAATAAATCCTTCAATTTCTGTACATGGAAAAAAAGGAAATTGAAAAGCATGTGTAAAAAAGAAGACACTACCCTATAAGTTATAGCCCACATGTAGGTTTGCCCTGTGGGAATGGACGACAGCACCATCTCAAAGGTGGAAAAGTGCAGATTTACTTCCTGGGGCTCTCAGACACGATCTTAGTGGAAATCACACAAGATGGCCCACCCAGTCTACCGAGTCCCAGGCTGCAGGAGACAGTGTTGCAGCAAGCTTTAAGACGACAGTGTTTTCTAAACTCTATGTGCCTACCAAGCTTCCAGCCCATCTATGGTCAGGGCCAAATCTTGCCTAGTTCTCATTAGCTGGTCACTATACTCAGCCAACCTTTCCTTCCTCTCCTGCTGCCATTTTCACCTTCTAATTGCACATTAACACATCGAAGTGAGAGGCAGGGAAAGGAAGAGAAGTGAACATCAGATCAGTTAATTATATTCATTGCCTACTATCTGTCAGATAATCAATGCCCATCATTGGGAGGCGAAATCAATACCTATCAGTGGGTCCTATGGCAAACACCTGGGTATTTCAAAAGCCTCTCAGACTTCAAAACCAAATTCATGCTCTTCTCCTCCTCAAATATAGTCCTCTTCTAGCACTCCATATTTCAATGAATCCAGGTGATTTTTTGCAGCCAAAAAACCCAAAGCAACCCGTGATCCCTCCTTTTGCCGAACGTCTCTCCGCGCCCCACCCCCAACTCAAGATGTGCTCCAGAGTGGCTCTCAAATCTGGCCAAGTCTACTTCACCCTAATACAAACCACATCATCACGTTCCTGGACTACTTACTGCATTAGCCTCTTGACACATCTCCCCGCCTCTAAGCTGGATGCCCACTGCAACCTCCCTGACCTGTTCCCCAGGCTGCAGCCAGAGTGAGCTCTGAAAATCTAAACACCTTAATGTCGTCCGTAGGGCCTGCGGAGTCCCCCGCTCAGGTCTCCAGCGCTCTCTGCTCTGCAGCATCAGACATTCTTGGTTCCTCATATACGATGATCTTCCTGTACCCTAAGAGCTTCTGTCACATAATTACCACCAGGAAAATACAAAGCATCAGCCTCCTACCTCCCCCAACCCACCTGTCCTTCCCCACCCCCCACACAGGTAAGTCTCCAGGTAACTTCCTCAGCCTTCTCAGGAATCACTAACTCCAAAATTACACCAGCATCTCTGCCAAAGCACCTCATAGCACCTCGAACCTTTCCTCCCAAGGATTAATGACACACAAACACACATCAACAGTGAGTTTAATTATTTGATTCTTTAACCCCCTACTTGATGATACATAAATTCCAAGCGGAAATGACTCCTGTGCGTCTGTTTATTGTTCTATATACGCATCTAGCACGGCACCTGGCTTAAGGTAGGTGCTCAATTATTTTGCAGAATAAGTGATTGAATAAAAATGAATAAATTCCAAATATGCCCCAAAAGTCTAGCATAGACCAAGACACGGGGTTGCATTTTTCCTCTCAACTTATTTTAGTCTTAACGTGATCCTGACGTCTTTTGTATTTGCTGAGCACATTTTGGCTTTGCGTGCTTTTTTCTGCAACTAGCGCAATGTTTCCCAAATGTGGCACATTTTCAGGTACACGGGGGCACTTAATAAAGATATAGATACCTTGGGCCCCAGCCAAGACCTAGCAAATCAGAATCTCCAGGGGAAGGTGCTTTCATAAGCACCCCGGGTGATTCTGATGAACTGGAGAACAAAATTTAAAAGGGTTGTAGAAACCATTTGGGCTGAAAAAAAGTCTAAGACCTAAAAGAAAAAAAAATATTTCAACAATTACCCCAACCCCACCATGAAGCAGTATGCCATGCTCACACCAACCCCTTCTCGCCACCCATTCTCTGCCATTTGTCCCGTCTTTACTGAAAATTACGACTGCTGAACAGATCTCTCAATTTCTAGGTCTACCTTCCTGCCAGAAACTTTACGTACAGGAGGGAAAATTGAGGTTTCCTGCCCAAATCAAAGATGCTTCCTTACCAGGACACAAAGAACTTGACAAGCTAGGCCCCAGGAAAATTCACAGTTTTCAGCAGGGCCTAATTTTAAGGTTACTGCACACATCTACACGGGAATGAATCTCAAGCCTCAGACACAGTTCAGTTGCATTTTGGTGGAAATCTAAAATCCTACCCAAATATTTGACCACAATTTCCTGAAAACCTTCTACAAGACCCCTTTTGCACTACAATCTTTGATGCATGACGTAATCCATCAGAGAATGGAAGTTATTGCTTTCCACTAAAACAATGCTCAATTGTTCGGTATTTGCAGAATCCCACAGACACAATAAAGCCAGAAGGCTCCTTCTGCTGCACATTTTCTGAGCACCTGCTATCTGTGAGGAATACAAAGAAGAACGAGGCACTGTATCTGCCCTTTAAAAGTCTGGAGTTCAGGGAGGGAAAGAAACCCACACAGATGGCTTCAATACATGGGATGAGTGAGGACACAGTCACCTCCAGGTAGGTAAAAAGAAGAGATGAGAATTCAAGAGGATGTGATGGTTAATTTTATGTCACCTTGGCTAGGAAATGGTCCCTGGATATTTGCTCAAACACATCTGGATTTTACTGTGAAAGTATTTTTCAGATGAGATTAACATTTAAATCAGTAGACTTTCAGTAAAGCAGATTATGCTCCATAATGTGGGTGGGCCTCATCTAATCAGTTGAAGGCCTTAAAGAGAAAAAAGACTGACCTCCAAAGAAAAGAGAATTCTGTTTCCAGACTGCCTTGGGACCTGAGATGCATTTTAGCATAAAGCCCCAGGGTTTTCTTTTTTTTGTGTGTAAGGAAGATCAGCCCTGAGCTAACATCCATGCCAATCCTCCTCTTTTTGCTGAGGAAGACTGGCCCTGGGCTAACATCTATGCCCATCTTCCTCCACTTTATATGGGAGGCCACCACAGCATGGCTTGACAAGTGGTACATCGGTGCGCGCCCAGGGTTCTGAACCTGGGCCGCCAACAGTGGAGCGTGCGCACTTAACCGCTACACCACGGGGCCGGCCCCTAAAGCCCCCATGGTTTTAATCTTCTTTTATTTCACAGTGGCCAGTAAGATAGTCAGACTAATTTTGCTAACCAAGTAAGACTGAGTGTTTCTATTCCCTACAAGGTCCAAGGAAAGCCAGGCTGTCTACACAGCCCAGCAGCCAGGCTGGCAGAGTCTACATTAGCACCAGGCTGTGCAGGGCACAGGTCCTCTCTTTAGAGAACAGGTCCACCAAGTCCAGTCAGGCTGGTTTGAGATACACAGATGGACACACAGAACAAGGAAAATTCAGAGATCCATCCCCACTCTGGACCAGATCCAGCTCCCCTGGGTTAAGACCCCCGACCAAGGCCTGATGTTTCAGGAATGCCTAACTCCAATCTGCTCCCTCACTCTGCATTTCTCTGGCTTCTAGCACAGGTTGGGCCCCCTGGGACTCTGTCAGGTCCCAGCCTTTTCCTATACATGTTGTTTCGGTCAATGCAGTATTTATTTGATGCCCATTGTATGTCCAACATGGGACGGGCACTATCAGATAGAGTCTGCTGTCAAGGGGCTTAGAATACTTCTGGGGAGTCAGAATCACCCTCCTTTGACGTGATCCTGAGTGGTGCGGCACCCGCCTTGAGAATAAGCAGAAGCCTGAGATCAGCATGAACAACAGTGCTGGGAGCGGGTGGGGGGGCTGGCCAGAGGGCTCAGCAGCATTTGCCTAAATCAAGGACAGAAGAGAAAGCAACTCAGGGGGCCGAACAGAGCAAGCAGAGACCCACAGTGGGGATGAATGTGGCATGCCGCAGAGACAAGACCCCCGCCAGAGTCCAGTGTCATGTGCTGGGAAACAGTGTGGCCAGTTGAGCCTTAACCCTAGAATTTAAAAATATGATTCTGCAGGAAACAGGGAACCTTTGAAGGTCTTCAGAATAAGACCAGATGATGAAGACCACACTTTAGGAAACATTCCATGTGTCAGAAGGTACCAGGAAGGAAATGCAGGAATGTAACAATGGTTAAACTGGGTTTGGGCAGAATCCTAGTTCTACCATTTACAAATGTGATATGGGCAAGCTATCTCACCTATTCCAGGAACCTGACCCCTTATCAGTAAAGTGGGGACACCAATGTTGACCTCATTCACTTGTCAGGATTACATGAGATAACGTGTAAAGGCTTCCAGAGTGCCGGGACCATCGTAAGCACTGGTAGTAGCATCAAAGAAGGCAGCTGCAGCAGCATCGACAAAGTCATGGCAGCACAATATATACGTGAAGGCCCCTTCTGGAAAGTGACAGTGTACACTGAAAACATCACTATGGTTGAAGTACATTCCTAAATGTTTTCTTTCAAGATGTGAAAGCTACATAAAAGAAATTTTATTGAACTGCATGAACCAAACCCTTAACAACATTGCTAGAAGCCCTTGTCAGAAAGAAGGATAAACTCAGGGACCAGGACTGACCCCGTATGACTGATCTGTCTTATGAGTAATACTTTTTTTATAGCATGGACATTTCACAACAAAAAAATCTCAGCTTTTATGACAAGACCCCTTCCCCCCACACCCAAAAAAATAAATCACATCCAGAGCTATCTAACTTCACTTAGAGACCTATTCCTGGGCATCCATCACCATGCAGAAGCAGGAACAAACCAAACTAGAGTTTTGGTAAGCCCAGACAGGTTCGTGCCCAGGCCATTCACAGGGCCAATTCATCACCATTTTAGATCTATTCATAAACACACAAATACCTGAGCACCTACTGTGTGCCAGGCCCTTATCTTGGTGATGTAAACCATGTGCCCCTGGCAATTTAGGGACAGCTAGTTAGGAAAAGGAGATAGTGGGTATGGTGGAAATCAGCATATTTAAAAGGAAGAAGCCTGCTAGAGAGAGCTTCAGACAGCAAGAAAAAGCGAAAAGAGGACAGAGGCAGGGACGAAAAGACAGAGACCCAAAAGGCATACTCAGAAATCAACATGCAAAGCACCTACAGAGGAAAGAACCCATTTTTAAACAGAGAGAAGCAGGTGAGGTTGAGGCCATTTTTCCTGCCCGAGGAGCAGGAACCTTCCAGCAAGGTCTTTCGTTCTCAGCCCAGAGAGGAATCCTACTCACCCCAGGACTGCGCGCAGTCGCTACCTAGTAGTTCAAGTTGGCACAGGAGATGAAATTTGTTTGCTTCTCCTGCTTTTGGGCATTTTAATTGCCCTGCAGTTATCACTTGTACATCAAGAGCCCTGTGCCGCTGCCATTGACATTGCTGCCATAAATGATCAGCGAATCTTACGTGATTTGTAGTGCACTCTACCTAAGAAGACAGGGGGTTCGTACGACGGTTTGGAACGACTGCTGGCTTTGGCACTGAGCGAGTTAAACCTCACCTAACTGGAACACAACGACACTAAATAAAAGGAGGCGTAATTTTACCAACAACTTTAAAAAGTTCTTTGTCACCAAACCTTGATTCTTCGGATGCTGACGATTGCCTCTGACACCCTCTCGATGGCCGAGGGGAAGAAGAGGGTGACGGTCACACGCACAGCCCCGTACAGCGTCATCGCCACGAACACACGGCTGGCTGTGATCACATTGCCCAGGAGCACATAGGTGGTGAAGGTCACAAAAATGATGATTTTGCTTGAAATGAAAAATGATGCCAAATTCATTCCCCTAAGATAGGAACTTCTCAGAATCTTGGAAATTTCCTTCCTAGAAGAGACAGTAGGATTATAGGTTTCAAAGGCAGTATCAACACCCAAGTCATGAATTCAAATGCCTTTTGCATGTGGTCCCTTTCTAAGGAGTGGACATAGATTAAGATAAAACCATCCCTTACATCGTGGAAATATTCTACACACACCCTGGGGCCAGCTCCAACACAAGGACCACACACTTCATCATGGCTTGACTCATCCAACTAAATGGAGGCTTAATATCACCCTATAACATTTTGGGTCAATCAGACCGGGTTTGAACATTCATTCAACAAGCATTTGTAAACACAAGTCCAGTGCCGGGCACCTCACTGATGACAGAAAGACACAGCCCATCCCTTCTAGGAGCTCATGAACTCGTGGGAGAAGAGAATAAGCAGCCCAAAACTTGTGAGACACCAAGACATTAGACAGAAGCAGCCAGCACAGGCCCCACAGGAGCACAGAGAGGAGGCGTCTACCTCGGAACAGCGGAGTCAGTGCAAGTCGCACGCACAGGGACCCTGAGAGGATGAGTTGAGTTAGTCAGGCCTGGCGGGGGCCAGAGAAGAATGAAGATGAGAGCACATTCGATGCACAGGGAGGTGCACCCACAAAGGTGCAAATGTGAGAGGCGGCCCGGCGCTGTCAGAGAACTGTAACTACCATGTGCTGGAGAACAAAACTCATCAAATACTTACATTGAAAGACTGAAAAAAATTCTACAAGTATAAAGCAAAACAAAAAGAAGTAGTATTTCCATGGGTCTGTTTCAAATGAATAATACTGATTCATAGAGTTTGGCCCGATACAGGTATACCCCAACTCTATAATCTTCCTATTTGTGCTCCATTAATATATATTATAGTCACAGTTTAAACGTCAGAGTCTCAAATACTAGCATCATGGAATCATTGTTTGTTTGGGATCTGGGGTATTAAGAAACATTTGGGGGGCCGGCCCCATGGCTTAGCAGTTCAGTGCTTGCGCTCCGCTGCTGGCGGCCCAGGTTCAGATCCCGGGCACGCAGCGACGCAGCGCTTCTCCAGCCATGCTGAGGCCGCGTCCCACATACAGCAACTAGAAGGACGTGCAGCTATGACATACAACTATCTACTGGGGCTTTGGGGGAAAAATAAATAAACAAATAAAATTAAAATAAAAAAAAAAGAAACATTTGGGATTTCATTTCTGTTTAAGTAAGAAGCATATACATTTTTTCCTTTAAGAAGATGGCAAAGGGAAGAACAGGTTAAAATGAGGTACTGTGCTATTCTACTTAACCCTGCTGCCACATGGGGTGGGAGGTGGAGCGGATAGTATTTAAGTTCATCCTAATGTGAAAATTTAGTAAGACTTCTAAAACCATTTAGTAAAAACAGGAAGTAGAAAAGTATGAAAATATGGTGTGATATATTACAAATACTCACCTTCTCAAACTGCTAATAAGCTCTGCAAATGGCTTTTCCCAAGCATACATTTTTATTATTCTTATGCCAGTTATAACTTCATTCATGGTCCTGATCCTGACATCTGTGAAAGCTGCAGTCTTACTCCTAGGGGGACAGATGTGAGAGATGAGCCACAGCGACCACAGCCCAACCTCCTTATCAGCAGGGGGCACAGGCAGAGACCAAGGATCAAAGGAGTCCCTATAGCTCTTTCACAGTGACAACACAGGTGGGTCCTACTCAAAATACAAACGGAAAACGATTTCAGTTAGGAAGTCAACAATTCATCCCAATTCAAGAAGTCACTTGGAGAACTTGGAGTATCTGCTAAGGAAGAGAGGAAATGAGACAGTTGCAAGCTGTCACTCAAGCAGGTCGCGGTTGGGTAGGGAAGGTAGAAAGGCACCCGAATCTAACAAGAATACAGTTGGCGGTGGTGTAATAAAACAGGAATAAAGTGCCAGGGAACAGAAAAGAAAGGGCTGTTAATTCTACTAGGAAAGAGGGAGCAAGAAAAGCTTCCGAGTTCTGGTAGCATTAGAATGGGCCTCGAAGGATAAAGAACATTTCTCCATGGCAAAGAGGGGAAAGGAGACTCCAAGTAGGGAAGACACTGAACGTAAAGGCACAAAAGAAAACTCAATGTGCGTCCAACAGCACCACATCTCCATCCTCCTAACAACCTTGACAACAACCCACTTCCAACCCTCTGCCCCTACTTTAGGTCTAATTTACTCCATCACCCTTAGGCTCTTCATCAACGGCCACTTTTCTATCACATACGCTGCCAGGACGGTGGGACTTTATAAGACATAAATTATGATCAACTTTGCACTTGGGGAGTTTATATACTTAATGGAAACATTGAATTAAAAACAAGACACACACATACACACTTGAAAAAGGCTCTAACACAAGCATAACAAAAATATATGCAGCTAGAATTGGGCCTATAAGATATGTAAACGTATTATTACTTAAGACATGTTTAAATAACTTCAACATATGTAAATCCTGCTTAAGGACGCTCTAGTTACTGACGTACGGTGTCTGAAAAGCCAGCTGGGAGGAGCCAGCGAATGCCTCCACCTTTTCTGCTTCAAGATCAGCCTTCACCTTAAGGCTGAGCCTCCACTGGCTAAGCCTGAAGAGTCTACAACACACGCAAAGAAGAGAGCACAGAAGGCATGTGTTTTGGTTTTGAACAAAACCATTGGACAGACTGTGGATGTTACCAAATACACATGACCTATTTTTTAAACCAGTGTTTCTCTTACCGGAATGACGAGAACAACTTCCCAAGGCAGCTTTGCAAAGGCAGAATAATAATTAGAACAGTCATCCCAGCAAGACACGAAATTCCTATTTCCATCCAGAGCAGAGCAGTCACTGCGATAGCCTGCAGTGGTCCTGCCCACAGAAAGTGCAAGAATATTGTCACCTTAAAAGAAAAAGACAAAGCGTTCTTAGGACTATATAAAAACAAAACCAGTAAGAACATAGTATAGAAACAGTCATCTCCAAAAGAACAGGTAGGAAACTGAACATAAATGATCACAATGGGCTTTAAACCTGTTAAAGCAGCTATCCAAGCTTCTACCATTCCAGGGTACCACAGGGCAGGCTTCAGGAACTTCCAGGGAGTACTTGACCAGCAGGGTTGGAAAAAAGATCTCAATTTGTCTATCCCATGGATGAACTCAGGGCTTCCCTAAACTCTCTCTGCCAGAAAATTCAGACCCCCGTCCCCTGTGGCTCCCCAGGAAAAGCCTGTATTATGATGCCTACCACATTCTCCAGTAATTACTTGTGTATTTATCTCCCTGTCAGGCTGTACTTTCTCCAGGGCAGAAACTAAGTCTTATTCATCCCTGAAACTGAGTCAGGGCCTTAGTTCACGTTTGATGAATGAATAATTGAAAGAGAGGTAGTTTAGTCCAATACAGATCTGACCAGCAGTTACAATGCCCTGCATGACGTGATATATTCATAGGGTAATTGTAAAAAAAAGAGTGTGGTGGAATAGAGGACAGTAGGTTATTTCTGGCTAGGGACCACCCATTAAGCATTATTTATTGAAGGCTTCCTATATGGCAGCACTGTACAGGGCACAGGAAAAAGAACAATTCCCACCCACCAGGAGTTCATCAGCCGGAGGAGAATAAAGACAATTCCGCCAGCAAGACCAACACCACGTGCTTCAGGGCCACTCCAGGAGGACTACTAGATATATTTAACCAGCCTGGGCAAGAACACTGCTGTCTTCCCATAGTTACGGAAGTATGTTGCAGGCAGCACTAGAAAAACACACCGCTAGCTGACAGGACAACACGTATTATTACATCTAATAATAGATGTAATACATCTAATAATAGAAATGAGAGTTGGATAAAAAGTTCCCTTGGTCTTATGTCTTCAACAGAATCCTGGCCTACGCCAAAAACTGTCACAGGACATTCCAGTAAGTTAAACTAAACGAGAAGGGCAGGAAATGAAAATGGATCCCTCAGGTGCAGCTTACCTGATCAAACTTGTTCACATCGTTGGACAGCAGATTCACTATCTGGCCTGTGGTGGTCTTCCCCATGGCCACGTTACTAAGGCGAAGCGCCTAGAATAAGAGAGGGAAAGAGAGAATTGGATTCCTACAGCGATAAGTCAAGCTGAGAACATAGCAAAACAGAGAGCATCTTCACAAGGTCTTGTGTTATGTGAAGACGAGCAGGAGGACCCATGAGAGCCGGGTTCTGGGGACCCACGTTCAGGCTTCAACTCCTCAATGTGGTGGCAGCCACGACCCACAAGGGCAGCAAAGGGAAGAACAAGGGGTAGGAGCAAAATCCCCACCCGTTTTTTGATGCCTTTAGACATGCCCAAAGTATCAAGAATGTAAGATCATACTTTTAGGAGCCAGTTGAAGTAATTTTGAGCCAAATTAGATGACACTGAAGGGACTACCTAAGGAAAAGAATTACAGAACTTGGACTGTAAATCCGGACTCAGTTGTTAATTCTCTGCGTGATGTCATTTAAACACTCCGGGCCTTTGTTGCCTCGCTCTGTGAATGCAAATAACCCCTCACTCTGCCTAGATCATAAGGTTCCTGTGAGAGTGAAATGGCAAATATTTGTTATCTACTAAATGAAGGACACCAGGTGCTTCAGCAGATACGATGAATGAGGAGTCATATCTTCATGTCTTGAGAGATAGACAGATATGTACAAACACCTGTAATTCAAGAGTGAATTGGAGAGGAGGACACTACTGGCACAGGGAACTGGGGAAGGTTTCGACTGAGTGACATTGTGGGGAGGGACAGACCTTGGACAATGAAGAAGAGAAACTATATGGAGAGGAGGGTAGGGCACATAGTGGGTGAAAGGTACAGTGTGCAGAAAAGTCAAGGAAGGGAAACTGTGGAGGCAGCCGAGTAAAAACACCAAAATCCAGCCAGAAAGGTGGATTGGAAAACAGCTGAAGGTTTGGAAGGCAACACGGAACAGTGAATGCTTTTTTACGCTAGAGTGAGAAACTCAACCTTAGGAAGATTAAACTACAGGGTGATTGGCCAGAAGATTCTTGGAAGAAGGGAGAATTAGGGGCTACTGAAACAGTCCAGGCAAGAGGTAACAAGACTGCACAGGGTTGTGTGAATGGAAAGGAGGTCCAGAAGTACAAGAAAGTACCTGGAACAGTAAAAAGTGCTATCCAAATGTAAGTGAGTCAAGCACAAAATACACACACCCCCTCCCAAAAGAAAGAAATGCCCCTACAAGAAAGAAACAGACCTTACTGTGCCTTAATGACTGAAATTTATCTTGAAAATATTTTTAAAGCCAATTTTACATACAAATACACGTTAATCCCTCATGCAAAAAAAATACATTATGGAGCAGATACGTGATACCTAATTTTAATAATTAAAATAAGGCAAAATGGCACACCAAAGTCTGATTCTAAACCGATCACTTTCAAAAAGTCTCAAGACAACTGCACCCAACTGGAATTATCATTTACAGACTATCACTGCTGCTGACAATGAGAACTACAAGCTAAGACAGTGCAGATGACAATTATGCAAAAGACAAAGTTCCTTTGGGAGCGCCATTAGGGCTACTGGCCATTCAGGTATGTCTAAGACCAGGAATAGTGATGGACTAAAGGGCTGGGTTCTGGAAGCTCAGACACTTGGCTATTAACAGAAGTTAACAATAACTCTGCATCCAACACAGAAATAAAGGATCTGTCCAAAGAAAACCAGTCATACTTCAGATAGAATTAAAAAAAATAGTGAAGTTTCATTATTATTATTATTAATGAGGAAGACATAGCTTACAAGCAAACTGACAGACTTCTGCTCCCAACCATGAAAGAATAATTGGTACTGGGACTTGCCCTCTCCTGTGAAAGCATAAAACTGGACACAATATATGTGGCAGCTGTTCTCAGGCACTGACCCACAGGCCTGTGAGCCTTGAGAGAAAGGAAATACAAGAGCTGACCCGGTGATAGGCCTGGCTTTCTGCCTGGGTCATTTTCTGCCCGGGCAGGACTGCAGCTTCCCTGAGCCAAGGAGGAAGAGATGGATGTTCCAAGTTGCAGAAACACCTGAAATTTGTGGGCCAGAGGAGCAGCAGCAGGTCCCAGAAAGTTTTTGTGGGGATTTACCAAGGCTGCTTAGCCAGGGCTTCACTGTACATGGGCAGTGGGGCTGACTGCTGAAGGGAGACTCCAGAGATCATGCGGTGCTAGGAGACACTGGAGCTTCGGCCCAACTAGAAGAAAGAGATCTTCATAAGTGCCTCAGACATTCAATTTAGACACAAGGATGCCCACGCCTTAGTAACAGAGATCACGCTCCAGAGAAAGAGCCATGCACTTAGAGTAAGTTCAAAGTGGAAATATCTGCCCTAGATAAATAGGCAGGTAGGTAGATAAACAGAAAAACAGAAAGAACAAACCAATGTTGGCAGGACCAATCTGTCAGGAATTGCTTACCAGAACAAAACTCAGCGCCCTTTAATCCTGACTCCCTATAATGTTATCCCTCTAACAGCCAACATAGTAAACAATTATTAGACATGCAAAGAAGCAAGAAAATGTGACCCATAATCAAAAACTATAAGAATAGTTTTTGAGAAAACTATAAGCAATAGAAATAGATCCTGAGATGACCCAGATTTTGGAATTAGTAGACAAGAACTATAAAATAACTATTACAAATATATTCGAGTAGTTAAAGGAGAACAGTTATAATAAATGAATGGACAGGTAATTTCAGGAAAGAGATGGACACTATCAAAAAGATGCAAATGGAAATTCTAGAACCGAAAAGTACAACACAAAAAATTTCCTAGATAACTTTAATAGCAGATAATGTCCAATGATCTGTTCCCAGATTCATTAACCCTTTCTTCTATAGTTTACAATCTGAAGAACAAACAGAAAAAAAGAGATATTGAAGAACAAAACAAAAAACTAAACCTGAGGGTTCAGTGGGACAATATCATGCCATTGGAGTCCTGGAAGGCAACAACGAAATAGGGAAGAAAAAAATATTTATTTAATTTAAATAATTGCTGAAATTCTTCCAAGTTTGATAGAAAATATTAATTTACGTACCTAAGAATCTTAGCAAACCCAAGAAGGATCAAAACAAAGAGACCCATGCCTAGGCATATCAGTCAAACTGCTGAAAACAAAAAAGTAAGAAAAAGTCTTGAAAGCAACCAGAGAAAAACAAAATATTACATGCAGAGGAACAACAATACAACTGATAGCTGAATTATCAGAAATAAGGGAGACAAGAAGACAGTGGAACAACATTTAAAAGAGTAACTGTCAACCCAGAATTCTATAACCAACAAAAATGTCCTTCACACGATGAGAGTGAAATTAAGACATTTTCAGATAAACAAAGTCTGAGAGAATTTATCACCAAGACACTTGAACTATAAGAAATTATAAAAGATTATTCTATAAGTTAAAGGGCAATGATACCAGATGGAAACTCAAATGTACAGACAGGAATAAAGAGAAATCAAAATGGCAAATATGTTTAATATCTTTATCTGTTTAAATATCTTTAAAAGATAAGTGATTGCTTAAAGCAAAAAGTGGTAACACCACATTGTGTATGTAGATATAAAATATATAACAACAACAGCACAATGGATGGGGAAGGGTAACAGAATTTTACTATCCTTGTCCAATATTACACTAAAAAGACTGTAATAAACTGACACCTATTTTAGTCCCTAAAGCAACACTAAAAATACAAAAAGACATACTGCTAAAAAGCCAATTAAGGAATCAAAATAGAATACTAAAAAATGTCTAATTGACCCAAAAGAAGTCAGGAATGGAGAAAAGAAAAACAGACAAATAGAAAATAACTAACAAGCTGAAAGGCTTAAACCCAATCACATCAATATGTACACTAAATGTAAACAGACTAACACTCCAATTAAAAGCCAGAGACTGTCACAGTGGATTAACAAAAGAAGGATCCACCTTGCTGTCTATGTGAGATGCACTTTAAATACTGATAGGTTGAAAGTAAAAGGATGGAAAACGATATGCCATGCAAACAGTAGGCACAGGAAACCTGGTATGGCTATATTAATATCAGACGATGTAGACTTTGAGACAAGCAATATTACCAGAGATTAAGAGGGACATTTCATAATGATAAGAAGGTCAACTTAGCACTCCTAAATGTGCATGGATCTAATCACAGATCCATGTGAGACCAAAACACACAGAACTGAAGAGAAAAATCAGGAAACTCCACAATCATTGCAGGAGGTTTCAACATCCCTCTCTCAGTAATTGATACAAGTAGACAAAAAAAAAAAAAAAATCAGTAAGGATACAGAAGATTTGAACTAGCAACCACAACTGCAGGAGTTTTTTTCAAGTACACGTTGGAAGTTCACCAACACAGACCATAAGCTGGGGCCATAAAATAAATCCCAATAGATTTCTAAATATAAAAATGTTACACACAATGTTCTCTGATGACAATTAAATCAGAAATCAATAATAAGATATCTCTAAAAACCCCAAATATTTGGAAATTAACAACATATTTATAACTAGCCATGTGGCAAAGAAGACATCACAAGAGAAATCAGAAATAGTTTTAAATAAGTGATAATGAAAATAAACCATATCATAATTTGTAGGATACAGCTGAAGCAAGTCTTAAAGGCAACTTCTGGTTTTAAATGTTTTACATTAAAAAGGAAGAAAGATACAAAATTGATGATCTAAGATTCTGCCTAAGACCAAGACCAAAGAAACAAAAACACAACCCACAAAACAAAACCAAAAAAGCCACTCTCTTCACACCTCTAGCAGAGAATATAGTGTAATCAATTACATCTGTTGACCTCGGGAGCTACCAGCTCGTTGACTGCACCGACTCTGTCATATTCATTTGTCACCATGATCATTTATTGAGTACCTACTGCAAGCCAAACAACTGAATAGGAAACAACTTCACTACGTAAGAATTATTCCTATTTTGCAGATGAGAAAATAAGCTGAAAGTATTCACGCCTGACAGAGAAAACACTCTCAGTATTTTTTTTTAATGAAGCAAATTTA